TGAAAATTTGGTCGGTGTCCAATTTAGATTGAGACACCACAAACCGAAGCAATCTAGTTTCGTTTGTTGATATACAGGAGGAAAGCGAAAGTTTTAGGTTTTGTGATGTTATCCTATCTTGCTACCCATGCAAAATAGAAGAAAGGTAATAATAACTGTCAGTTTTTGATATTTTTACGTAGAATCTAGTGGACTAGTAAAAAAAAGTTTTGGACCACTCTGAGATTTGATCCGAAGTTGGTAAACACCGTATGTTTCATAAAATCAGTTGTTTGCTTTCTTTGTCCTAATTACACTGATGTATCACAACCTATATAAATTTTTCAATTTTACCCATGAAAATGAATAAAAACGTAAGTTTTTACTGTTTGAAATACAAATAGCAGATTAAGGGCCGGTATTTCCATCTTCGGATAAAGTACTAGATTCGTACCTGCCAAATAACTTATACCGCCCGATATCTACCGTTTATCTATCTGCGAGTATTTCCATCAGCGTGCGGTATAAATACAGGGTGATTCCTATAGTACCTGCCACCGTTTGGGAGCGTATAGGGGGTGCCTAGGGGAAGTATTTTGATATAGGACACTTGGGGTCGGAAATCTAAAATAAGGGCGCCAGAACCAAATTTATCTTCTGGAATTTCACGCCTGTATGTAGGCAACCCAACCGACCGACGTTTCGCGCGGAGCGATGCAGAGCGAGTTAGCGCGAGGAAGCGACATGGGAGGGAAGGAGGGAAAACGACAGTCAAAAGCAATAACGTTTACAAGTGTTCAACGTGGCCACCGTTGTTCTCAATGCACTTCCTACTCTAGGCCAACCACTCCCCTCGAACTCGCGTGAAGACTCCTATGTCCTGGCGAACAGCCTCTCCGGCCATGACGACGCGCGAATTTAAGTCCTCTTCGGGATTCGACGGGAGTCTGGTAGACGTGCGCTTCCATCACACCCACAAGTAAAAATCTAATGGGTGATTGTCGGGCGAGCGGCAGGCCACTCCACCGCACCTTCCACGGCCGATCCATTCTGTCCGGATAGGTGGTCCAAAGTGTTCCCTCACCCTGCCGCCCCGTTAGTGAGCAAGGGCACCCATCGTGCTGGAACAGTGGTCCCAGTACAAAGTTCACTGGAATCATTTAAAGTCTGGAGCACCTTCGGCGCAGGAAAATCATGGTAATTTAATGGCATTTAGACGCGGAGGGAGATGTAAGGCCCCAGTAGGTGTCCCCCAGGATGCCAGCCCAAACCGTTTAAAGAAAACTTTGTCCTGGTATCCTCGCGTAAACGTTTTCATGAGGATTGTTTGCTCCGCCAGTAGTGGCTGTTACGAGATTGAAGGTCCCTCTCTTGAGAATCTCGTCCAGTAACTAGCACGCTCCTCAGAAAGGTCGGATTTAGTTCTCCTCCTGGGACGACCTAAGTTGCAGAATTCCAGCCCCTTTCATGGTCACCCGGCCGTAACCTTCTTGCACTTTCTTAACTTATAGGTTGTAAGTTGTTGTTGTTGGCGAATGTTCCACACTGTGGTGACTACAACCCACCCGATCTGTACAAGTCGAGTGCTAGTACGCGGGTTTGCCTTCGAAACGTTCCAACACATCCTCCGTTCAAAGGCATTTACAACGGGCGGATCGCGATCACGGGCGCTAGTTGGGCTGCGAAATTAGGAGGAGGGTCGGTTGTAAAACAAACAAAACATTTTCGAAAATGGAGTGCTTAAATGACCCAAGTTCTATGTGCATCACGAATCTGTGTGTAAAGTTAAGCCTCCTCAGCTTACTGCAATGCCCTGTTCGCACAGTCGGAAGATGAACTTCTTGAAAGACCGTCTGCAGGGTAACTTGACGGTTTGGATTTACCGCTCAGCGTACGCTCGTCGTGCAGCTCGTGCGTTACCATTGCCAATCCGTACATGAAATGCATGTCCGCTTATTCCGTTGTTAGTAGTAAAAACGTGCCATAGTGTTTATTCCAGAGACTTGTTATAACTAGACCGCGCGTAACGTAGATTTTACTATAAACGCCTGTTGTCAAGATAGGATAGGCAACCAACTGTTCATCGCGGGGCAGACGTACATACGTTCTGCAGCTTGCTTTAGCCATGTTTATTCTAAATTTTTGTAGCAAAAAAAGATAACATTGTAGTGTACTTAACCCCCAAGTTCTACGCTAACTTCACACTACAAGAACACGGAAATAAAATAAGCCCGGCAACGTTTTAAAAAAATGGCCACCCGAATGACTATTCCCTCTAAAACTAAACAAGTACCCGCTTAAATTTGAAAAGTGGCACGTGATAAAACATCTAAGGCAGGGCCTCCTTACGTTAGTTGTAGACAACGCTTTGACCTGAAGCACAGTAGGGAAGGAATTTTAAATAAAACACTGAAATGGTGAGAAGTTTGTTTAATAATGATCGTAATTATTATGATTGTGAAAACCCGGAAATTTAGTTGATGTACATTAATATAAACAAAACAAACAAAGCCAAAAGGTGTCGTACTCTCGCAAAAGTCACTGCCAAGGATAAAAAGAGTACGACGTAAGAAAAACCTTGCAGTTTGATTAAAACAGTCCAAAAGTTAATTAACAAAATATTTTGTAAAAGTTTTAGCAGTAGTTAACAAAGATAGTAAATGCATATACACAATGTTGGTTACACTCAAGGTTAAAGCAAGTTTTTGGGGACAATGGGTCAGGTAGAAGCAGGTACCAAGATTCTGAGAAGGGGTGAAATACACAGGATGTGACTCATCTTTGGTGCAATAAAGTCCTTTTGTTGAAAGCAAGATGGAAAATTACATGGCCTTGTAGGCAAATTTAACTAAAAACAAAGATATGTGGAAATTATTGAATCGCCACTCATTTAACGCACATAGATTCTAAACTGAAGAGCTTTGATTAGCGTAATCTCGCTCCTGCAAGATGGGTAGTCCGCCCCTGGTTTCGGGGTTTCGAACCTACAGTTGGATGTCGAAGAAAGTGCACGGAATTAGGTGCCCTAACACATAAATATAGACTACAGTTTCTTTTTCCACCTTCCCGAGACTGCTTCATTCACGGAGAAAATTGTTAGTAACATACAACAAGTCAGTACATACATTAAACGAATCAGCAATTTCCACATATAAAAATAAAATGAAAACTTACATGAATGTAACTTCAAGGACAAGACCAAGTAATCAACATCAATAAACATAAATTAAGCAAACATTACATCAAAAATGTAAACAATTAAAAACAATAGCATAACGGTATCACACATATGATTGCATTGCGGTTAAACAAAGTAAATTTCAAAAACAGAGATTCAAACACCCAACAAATATAAAATGCGGCATACAAAACACAAATACGATATAAAGAAATGCAAAAATTACTACCTGCATTAAATAACACAAAATAACAACAAACATTTATGGAGCGAAACGTTCACTACCTCCATTCAAGACCAGATGCCAAACGTAACTCCCGTTCGTGCTTTCTAGGTGGCGCAGGCAACTTTTTTTCCCACCTAGAAATTGCATGGTTGCCAACTCTCAAAAATGTATGTATCGTCGTAAGCTGTATATACAGGGTGGAACCTTTCAACATATAGCTGTTAACTGTTTTAATCGAATTTATTGGTATTTTATTTGAACTAAATTGGTATATAACTGCCTTACTCTAGTCCTAATTTGATTTATATGTGTATTTTGGTGGTGAACACGCATGGGAAAATATACTCTTAAAACTAAAGATGTAAGTAGTAAGATATGATTATTTAGCGGATTTTGATTCAATATATGGTTATCCAAAAACCCAAATGGGCTGTAACTGTTATTTATTTTTCTTAGACTGCTCATAACCATTTTGTTTACAACGCGGTGTGGTGTGGATTGAATGAAAAACCTGAACACATTTTCAGCAATTTGGCAATTTTTAATGCATCGCTTGATACGTGCAACAATCCTCCACGATTTTTTCTAGTTAAAAGCTTTGAATGATTCTCTGATGCGAATGTCGCATCTGTACATATGGAACATTTAACAGACTAAGCTATTTTTCTTGTAACAAAACCTGAAATATACTTAGTACCATTAAGTACTTAGTTACGTCTATACCTAATAGGCAAATAGGTATTGCCGTTATCTTGCTGGTAAAGGATGTCGAATAATAGTTCTACGTTATTTTAAGTGAATGGGAAAGTCGAAAACGCTCGGTATTGCATTATTGTTTAACACCTTTGTAGGTACCTTTCTAAAATCGGCTTCATTCCCCGCAAATGCACTATGGTGGGAGTAAATTTTTCGCTTCGAATGGCTCTGATCCATTGGCCCTTTAAACCTTTATCCGTTGAAAATCAGCATATTATTTAAAAATTTATCGACAGAGTACATGTTGATAGGCACAAGTTAACCTAAGTTTATTGGTTTATTCTCAACAGAAATTTATCTGTTCACTAATTCGAGCTAATCACGAGAATGATTAATGAACGGAACATATCATCTCAGCGATTTTTGCCCCGCGGTGCATTGTGTGTTGCATACTGTGTCGACAACACCTTAGATACGTTAAGCGCAGTCTAGTTATAGCAAGTCTCTGGTTTATTCACTTGATACGCGTCGTTGCAGACGGGATTTCGTGGGTTTAAACAAAATTCTGATCAAGTGTCAGCCACACATCGCCGCCTGAGATCGCTCCGTGTGCACCGCCGGCCGGTTGGGTTGCCTACCTACAGGCGCGAAATTCCAGAAGGTAAATTTGGCTCTGGCACCCTTATTTTTGATTTCCGACCCCAAGTGTCCTATATCAAAATACTCCCCTACGCACCACCTACACGCTCCCAAACGGTGGCAGGTACTATAGGAATCACCCTGGATATCCCGTAGATGGCTACCTAACCTTAGCCAATGTTGCCGATTTTAGAAGTCTGTAATAGAAAAAGATAGCGAACGGCAAGGCCATATATTAGAGCAAGATAGCTTACTAGCTGACAATTTGAACGAATGCTTTTGTTTTGGAAAGAAATTCAGTGACTTGTAATATACTTGTCAAACGTAAATTACAGAATAAGCTTTACTTATGAGTACTCTGAACATGAACCAAAATCGTGATGTAAATGCACCGCGTAGAAAGAAAAGGCTAATTTCAGCACATCTGAAAATCGTGTGCTTGTGTCAAGAAATTCTTGATCCATTTGGAATCTAAAATAGGTTACCTATATCCTTCAAGAAAACATAGTATGTATTTGCGTACTTCTACTTCCATACTTCAATTTCTTTCTTCCTATTTAGTGTAGGTACGGTTGGTAATTTCGCAAATTTTTAAAACGTCACCAGTTTACTGGAAATTTGACGCAGTATCCTGGGGTTATGTTGATAACTGCAGAAAATCTACCCAATAACTTTATCTAGAACTTATCCTGCCGATAATATTTAAACGAGGTTCGAAATACCCGAAGTGACGCTAACTGTCGGTTTACCTGGAAGATATCTTATACTTATAACTTTATCCCGAGATGGAAATACCGGCCCTTAATAGAGATTATGGTTTTTTTTTATTATATCCATGGTAACTAAGGCAAACTATACCAGTCAATAATGCTGATACATAATATTGTAATCAGGATAAAGAATGAAAAAAAAAATATTGCAAAGCAAATGTGAGATGTGGAAGTTGGAACGGAGAAAGCGTATAACTGCTTCCACATTTGGAAAAATATGCAAGATGAAAAAAAGTACTTCGACAGCGAAAACGGTTACAGCACTTCTTTACAGCACATTTATGGGAACACATGCCACAGAATTTGGACTAATCCATGAGGTCAATGCTATCGCATTATTTGAGCAGCAGTATGGAAAACGTGTTCAAAAAAGTGGTCTAATCATTGATAAAGATATTCCATTTCTTGCCTGTTCACCGGATGGGTTGGTGGAGGATGATGGTGTCGTTGAGGTGAAGAGCTCCGAAAAGAGCGGGGACCTGTCACCGATAGAAGCCTTCCAATGCGGAAAAATCGACTTTTTCCATAAACCAGGTGACACATGGTGTTTGAAAAAAAACCCATAGCTATTACTATCAAGTACAAGGGCAACTGCACATAACAAATAGAAATATTTGTTACTTCATAGTATACACCAGAGGCGGCATACATGTGGAACAAATCGAAAGGTAATAATTCGCATTTTTTCTGTGAAAGATATGTTAATTTGTTTTTGTAGAGATGACGTTTTTTGGACTACCAAAATGGCGGAGAACTTATCTGACTTTTATTACAACTCGCTAATCCCGGAATTGGTAGATCCACGAAGAAGTAGAGGACAATACCTGAGAACAATTTACATGAGTTGAGGGGGAGGTGCAACACTATGCATTAATTATTTAATAAAGTATTTTTTCTTATTGTAAATATGTATTTGTATATTGTATATAAAAGTATAACATTTCTTTGTCTATTTTTTAAAATCATCTTTTCCTGATACTTATGAGTCCCTTCACTGTTGTTGTGTTGTGAGACGTATCCCTACATGTTTTATATTCAATAAAGATTTATCGCAATAAATTCGTTGCTGGGTATTTACTATGATCATTATTGACCAAATTACCTATTTGTTATTTACGTGCCTAAAATGAATTTAATTTTCATAGAAAGTCTAAAAAGTGTTAAAGCGGAACCGCTATTGATAAAAGGAACTGCGAAAGTGATTAAATCACCCAAATCTTTTTTCAAAGTTGGACCTTTTCTATAAAAGATGAAAAAATAGCTATCCGTACGAATAGTGGACTTTGTTAGCAGATTATACTGCGTTCCATTCGGTCAAAATTACGTTTCGGTCATTTTGCCGTACATATGTGCCGTGTGAACGAGGGGTCAGTAGGATTAAAAAACAGCGGAAAAAAAAAAGTTATAGATACCCGCAATGAAAGTATAAGCCACAAGAAACTCGACAAGATGGTAAAAAGGTGTATATTTAAAGGAATTTCCCCTTTATTTGTGTCATAATGCATATTTAATCATCTAATTGCCATATAATTAGCCAGGTACAAAAGCAACAGTCGATTTCGCCCGAAGGTATGAGGTGCAATCTAAGCTGCCTAACTTCGATTTAAATCACTGAAAAATTCGTGACGTCACCCAAATCTTTTTACCAATTTGGCGCTTTTCTATCAAAGATGAAAAAAATTGCTATCCGTAGGATTAAAGTGCTTTATTAGCAGATTATAAATCGCCAAAAACCATGTTCATCGCGAAAATAGAACTCCAGTTATCCTTTAAATTCGTTTTATCAACGACTCTAATTATTTCAAAAAATATGATAAATATCGAAAATAAAAATCCGTAGGATTAATGTGTACTATATTTCCTACAATATCCAACATCGACCTAATTTCCAAAGCAACTGTAAAACCGTATCCTTTATAAACTATTTTGTCCTTTTATAGGTCATTTCAGATTCAGTTCATATGCGCCTTAATTCATATACGGATTCCACATAGGGGTTCCGATATCAATCACTTATAATTCTATGCTACCTTTGTGATGAAACTTTTTTATAATTTTCCTTAAAATGGAATCATTTTATTTCTTTGTATGATTTATAAGTAAGTACCTATACACTTGAAATCGTGAACATCATTTGCAATAACCATGTTCACAGTATGTAAAATTGTAAATCATAGTGCATAAAGTGACCTTTTTTTAACAACATATCAACTTCCAATCGTTTCAAATTTAATGCGATTTTTAGTTAATATCAATGACCGAATGACCCCAAAAAGGTCTGTTAAAGACCTAAAATCTCATGGTTTGGCGTCCATTTTTGTAAAATAAAAATGTCTTCAAAGTTTTGAATGTGACATTAGCTAATTGTAGGTATTTATCAATTTGAATTCTTGGCAAAAAAAGGAGAGAAAAATGTCAATAGTAGCTACTTCTTTTTTCTCCTGTGAAAATGGTTTCCCTTATTGTTGATCATTTCTGACATATTTTGACTCAAGTCACATACTGTTTAAGAGAACCGTCTCATGTAATCCATAGTACTTAATGCTTAGAAAACAAAGTAAGTGATAACTATAGCAACAGATGTAGAGGTACATTTATTATTAATTTCAGTTGGTAAATGCATAATTATGTGTACATAAGAAACAATAAATGACAAATATCAAGGTGACCAGTCTTCTTATCTTGGACACATAGCATGACGGCCACCGTCCACAGGTAACGAAGCACCTGTTATGTTGCTTGCATCATCGCTAGCCAAAAATGTAATAGTGGCAGCAACCTCATTTGGATTACCTGGTCTGCCGAGTGCATGAGTGTCCTTAGTTCTACTTAAAAATTGTTGATACTGGTCATCGTTCATTCCGCTACGTTTATGTAAGTTGGTAGTTGTAACGCCAGGATTAACACAATTTACTCGAACTTGTTTACTAGCTAATTCCAGCGCTGTACATCTTGTAAATTGATCGACACATGCCTTAGATAAGCAATAAGCTAAAACTCCCGGAAATGCACGAATGCCGTTAACACTAGATACATTTACGACATTCCCTTTTGATTGTATTAAAAACGGTGTGGCTAACATTGTTAAATGAAATATTGAACGCATGTTAATGTTCATTAAACGATCATATTGTTCCAAAGATGTGTTTTCGATACTGCCACTTTCAATAATACCAGCATTGTTGACCAAAACATCTAATTTTCCGAAATGCTTAACAGCGGAATCTAAGATGGCTTTTGTATCAGCTTCATTTGTCAGTTCTCCAGTGACTACATGTGGAGTTGGTGTATTTGGAGGCACTTTGCATTCAGAGGCAACTTTTTTTAAATTTGCTTCATTTCTTCCAGTTAACACGACACTGGCACCTAATGCTGCAAACCGTTTTGCTGTAGCAGCACCAATGCCAGAACTCGCTCCTGTTATCAATACTACTTTACCAGCAAATTGCATAATTCTGGAAAATATAACACTTAAAATGTACCCTCTAATTTGAACTATCTATTCTATTTCAAGGTTTTATACTTACAAATAGTAAATTTAAAGATTGGAGAAATTAATAAAAATTCAACAGAGATAATCCGGCAATCATGCAGTACACTCCCACGCCACGCTCATTCGTAAATAACTAAATATGTTATTTTCAACTTGTTACTTGATGGAAATGTTTGAACTTTTGGTGTGAGTTTGTTGCCGAGCAGGTTATCTTTTTATGGTTAAGTACAGGGTGTTCCATTCCAACTGGATGATGCAAAATGTAACTAGAATGTAAGATGGTTGCGTAGGGACCAACTACTCATAGTACCTATATAGTACCTACTCATCTCATTCGTTTTAATCTTCGCGGCCGGTATTATAAAGCATAGTTAACTATGTTGTATTGGATGTTTTTCCAAAGAATGATATCATGACAATAACATGGCAGACCATGCACTCAAAATATAACCGGCCATAAATAAAGCAAAAATTTACACTAAAAATGATAACGGCTTCAAACATTAAAAGTTAAACGCCCTACAGACGGTACGATTTGTCGTACAACTTATCGTACGACTTAGATCGATACTACAGTCTGACAGATAATCGTACCGTGTGTAGCGATGTCGTACGACGGATCGTTAGTCGAAATCGTATCGGATGGTAGTATGAACCTGCCATAAAACTTGGCGTACTACTCGACTTGCAAATTGCAGATCGTATCGTGTGTATGTGAACTGTGCGATATCTGACCAACTTTAGTACGATTTCGACTACAGGAAAGGTGATGAGTCTATTATTTGGGCATTTCTCGCTACTTTACCTTTATTAGAATGGATGCTTAATATAAAGATTTTTGGGAGGAATTCATAAGCTTATATAGACAACATAGTTGTTTGTGGAATATAAAGTCGAAGGATTATGCAAATAAAATTAAACTCAAGTTATGAAGAATTGCTAATAAAATATAAGGAATTACTCCAACGCCACAATAGACATTTGTCAACTAAAGTTTGCTTTTAATTGCGGCATTTGTCGTTCGACTTATCGTTTACATTTGTAGGGAATCACGTCGCACGGTACGATAAGTTGTACGACAAATCGTACCGTGTGTAGGGCGCTTTAACGGCAGTTTTCATACACGTGATCCCCACGTTGCGTGGTTGAGTACTGAGGTTGAGTACAGGAATTTCGCATTGTGTTTGAGCATACACAATTCGATCACCCACTCGTTTGGATCGGGGTGAAATTGCATTTCGTTGACACGATTGCTGACACACGTAAACATAATTTTTGATTCGCGTCATAAAGGGGTGTCGATTAGTGGGGTAATGGTTGTTGTTGAAGAGTATTCGTACGGATACATAGCGATAGGCCGTTCGTCCACCTACGCAACACGACTGCGATTCGAACAATAAAAAAGTTTCCGTCGATCAAACTGACCCAAAAATGACTCTGTGTTCAGTTCAGTTGCCTGCATAATGTCGAGCAGTTCGGATGACGATGACGTTGCAGAGTTATACGTACTGGTAGGTATGTCATAAAAAGAAAGTTTAGAAGAAAATGGTGGATACATCCATTTATTAAGAACAATAGATGCAATGGAGTTGCCGTACTAGCTAGAGAATTACGAAAAGATAGCAAAAAGTTTCAACTTCTGACATCTCATTTTCTCATTTAGTATTTCCAATTTGAAACGTTACTTCTAAGATCTATATACAATATCTCTTCTTGAATACTCAGGTATTTTGTGGTTATACGGGCATGGGTAGGTATTTCTCTACAGCTTCTACTAATTTTGTACAGAACACTTGTTCATTACACTTCGCCATTGTCATTGTCTTTTTATACAGGGTGGTCCCTAGCGCAACGCAGCATAGGGATTTCAATGGTAATTTCTTTAAGGTCAATTACTAGCTCCCCTAATTATTTTAGAGCAAAAGTTTAAATAAGTTTTTTTTAGAGAAAAAAATACTGCATCTGTTCATACTTTTAGTTACAATTTTCCATTTTTCAAAACCGTAGAAATCGACAAAATAAAAACTTACATTTTTATAAATCAGTGATGCTTTGGAATCTTTATAACAAACTACAAGCGCATCGCATCTAAGTTATCGTTGTTTGACGTCGAACCATTTTCATATTTAATTCTGTTACAACTATCCGATGCAAGAAAAACCGGCAATTGGGTAGGTAATGTTTTTTTAGAGAATGTATGTTGCATCTGCATCAGATACTATTTGTTTATCATGTTCCGGAATCAGAGTACCTACATAATCGAAGAAAAAAAGCTGATTTGAAGAAGATTTGTTCCTAAACTTATATTCGGATTTTCCGCTACTGCAACCAAAACGTTGAATGTATTGTCGTTTTCCTGATGGTTTTGACGGACATTTTGAACGTTATTGCACTTGCAGTTCTTTAACTAATTTATAAACAAGTATAAATTTAATATACGTCAAAGGCAAATAATGAAACATGACAGCTGTTTTTTTAGGTAATTCCAAGGCATATTTGATTTATTGTAAAATGAACGTTTTTATTTTGTCGATTTCCACGGTTTTGAAAAACGGAAAATTATGAGTAATAGCATGAACAGATTCAGTATTTTTTTCTCTAAACAAAACTTATTTAGACTTTTGCTCTAAAATAATTAGGGGAGCTAGTAAATGACTATAAGGTAATAATCACCATTGCTGCGTCGCGCTAGGAACCACCCAGTATATGCGCATAGGACTATAATCACAAAGCAACTGACATTCCCCGTCGCCATATGACCAGTTGAGCACGAGTTGCGCAATAGTTAAGTTGCCGTCGCCTTGGTGGAGAGAAACTGTAAAATACAGGGTCAGATGCATTAGCAACTTATTTCCGATTGTAAAGTGATTTTATTAACGGTCGGATTGCAGTTGCGTCGCGTCGGTGGACGAACGGCCTCGTAAATAAAGGCCGCTTGACATGGAGCAATACTACGCGCAAGAACTTGCAGAAAGAAATTGCAAGGTCAAATCCTTGCATGCAATAAGCATTGCATGGTATTTGACATGCTGCAATTCTATTTCAATTGCCACATGTCTGCCAACAGAAGAAACATATGGATTTGTCAACAAAGTTGTTAACCTCAAATGAAAATTAAATTTTGATTGCTTGAAGAAACATGAAAATTACAAGAATAAATAAGATTAGTAAAAACAAGTAATGAGTGCGTCTCTCAGCATCACAGTTGCCGCCGCTGTATTTTACTAGGTTGGTGCCACAAAAACAACTAGATTTATCCCTAGAATTGCACGATTCATGCAAGAAAAATAGCACCGGTCCTATAAAAATTGCATGCAAGTCTCTTTCTTGCAGCAATTGATCAGCTGGCTTTGAACTGCGCATGCCTTTCGCAATTTTTCTTGCAACTTGCATGCAATTGCAATTTTTATTGCTCCATGTCAAGCGGGCTTAACGGGCGATCAAAAATGAGTTGCTGTCGAGTCGCCTTTGGAAGTAGGACCTTGTCCCACCAAAGCGACACGACCGCGACGCGATGCATGTAGCGACGATGTATCTTTATTCTTTTATAAGGTGTCACCGCTCTGAGAGAGCAAACTAAGGCACCGATGGCGCCGGATGGGCTTTAGGACACCACGTTCGGGTGAGCAGTACGGGGTATAGCCTAGTAATAAAGAAAAAAAACGGCAGTTAAATTCGAATGAAAGTCGACTACAGGATGCAAAACAAATTTGGGAGCCTTTTAGGATCTCATAAACGGACGATATACAGGGTGTTTTTTTGGAGCTTTAGTTAAACGTTTCTGGGAAAGTAAAATAGGTAGGTTTTTGAAAAGTTGTACTCTGTTACTCTGAAGGCCGAATCGATGTAAAATATTTTCAAAATGGCGCCACTTCCGGAAACACCGGAAGGAGATAGTAACATCGTTATTTTAAATGGCAATCCCTATATACCAGTCATATTTTTTCAAAATTTCAAATGGCACCCCCCTAAACAAATTATACCTCTGGGTAGTCAAAGCTATAAATTTTCCACTGATATAAACAAAACCACACATTCCATAGAAAAATTTTAGAGAAAATTCAAGCCGAAACGTCAATTTGTAAAAAACAATAAAAGATGTTCAATTGTCACAACACAATTATCAGCAAAGTACCGGCAGTGTAACATTGTTTTTTAATAAACAATGCGAAAATGTTCCAAACCTAATGGTTGATATCGTATTAATTATTGGAGAATATGTTAGCGCAATTGTTTGTTGGCGTCAAGAGTGTACGCTGGGAGATATCCTGACAGAACACATCCAGATTCACGCACGTTTTAGAAGGTATTGGATAGATTTACAACTACTGGGAGTGTAAAACGAGCAAGGAGATTAAACGGAAGGCAGTTTTGACCGAAGATAATGACATTGAATTTATAAAATTCAATGATAATGAGTTGCAAGTTCTCGGGGCAGCTGTTGACAATCCTCATATTAGTATGCGCGTGAAATTAGTAGGACCACGGAAATTTCAATGCATTCTGTGCAACGTACTCTTCAAAAGTACAAGTTCCATCCGTTTAAGATGCAAATGCACCAGGAATTGCAACCTCAAGACTTTCAAGTTAGGCAGGATTTCTGCTTGTGGGCCATCAACAAAAATTACAAAATCGACCAAGAGGCACCCTATCTTATGCGCGTGTTATTTACCGATGAATCGACGTTCCATAAAAATGGCGCAGTTAATCAGTCCTTACTACTTCGATGGCGATATTTAAGGTTCCTTCGTGAGGATTCTTGGAATTGTCATAAAATCACAACCTAAACAAAGTTGACTGACTATTCGCTGTATCTCAATCACATTACAAATTTTAAATTTAATATTCTTTAAGGTGGCGTTTACATTGAAAAATTGGAAATTTGTTTCCACAATAACTGCCTTCTGGGGTATTATATTGAGATGCCCCAACCTTAGCAATGTCCTGTGAATGTGATTGTCGATACGAAGCACCCTATACATCATGTTGGTTGCACAAGCTGCCAACCGAAATCTGGTGGGATTACAGAGAAGGGAAAGAGAGCGAAGATGAGACGAATGGAATGTCTTGGAAGACCACATGTGTTTACAATTTCTAACACCTGCAGTCCACTTTTTTCTTAGAAATGCGTGAAATGCAGGGAATGGGCGATTTTGGGGTGGTTTAGGGGTATTAGCAGATCAAATTAGCGCGTGGCTTGGGTTGGTCAAATAAATGGGATTTAACATGTGTGTTCATGGTCTTTGTCTTGTAACCGGCTGAAGTGTAAAGTACGGCTTGTCTTGAAATATTTTGTGATACCTTAATCATTGCTGTGTAGGTACTTTTGCTTTGTTATATCAGGTGAGGTATTTGCTTTATTCAATTAATCTATAAATGTGTGTAACTTGAATGCAGATTGTAACCCTTTACTTATGTACTTACTGAATTCAATCCCTTGTACCTTTAATGTGTAATCTTTGTTGGTATTGGCAATCGTGTTTCATTGTCGGTAGGGCTGTATCTGTGCTGTACATACTTGCGTTGTGTACATATTTAATTTGTGTATTGTGCTTTTTAGTCACTCTCGATTATTGCATTACATTTCATTATATTTGCTTATTTGGGACTGTGAGTAATCAAGAGGGAAGTGAAGTGTGCTTGTTTAGAGGGGATCGAGTTATTCAAGTTTATACGGCCTTGGTGAATCTAACACTAACATTTTCACTCGTTCCGAACTCAACAACTTTAGCCCAGGTTTACAGGGACCCCACTGGGCCTGGGTACTCCTACCGCCCGGCGAGGTATATTTGATATTTCTTAGTTTTGCCCGATGTATGTGTTGTAATACCTGGGGAATGGCTCGATCCCATTTTGGTTACTCATAGCGTGTTTGTAGTAGTTACCCCGATTTCGAGAGGGCTCAAAAGTGCTGTACATTAGATGTTGTTCATTATAGGACTACTCCGAATTAGGTTTTCCTGCAGTTTTCCTAATTCGTAAGGTAAATGCTGGAGTCGTATAGAACCGCTTAAGACCCTCTGCAGGGGCATCGTTTTGTTATTAGCTGCAATATAAACTTAATCAGCTATTGCTTTTGGTGTACCTTACCCATAAAACGCCCTCAGTGCCTGCTGAGGACCCAGTTATTACCCAACGTAGGTGTCCTACATGACGATCACGATCTTAGTGCACTCGGAGTGGCCCCAGAGTGACAGATTCTCGCGGGAAATGTAAGCGAGAATATTCAAATAGGCAGCCATGTTAGTTTGGCATTCCCGCTACTACAGAATATGGTCCAATATTCCAGTGTGACTTGAAGTTGGCGTTAGTCCACCAAGATAGTAGGAGGCTAAGATCATCACAATATAGCATCCTTGCTTCTGGGTAAAAATTTTTGGGTGAAATAGCATTCATTCAAATATATAATGTTCCGACATTTGCATGAAACAAAAATTATTTAGCTAATTCCTGCACTTTCGCCGTTATTTAGGAAATAAGTTGTTAAAAAACTCCCATATAAAATATATATCTCATTTGTATTGAAATTGTTATCAAACTTAACTTCATTCATAAGCTTAAACCCTTAGCAACCATCGTATTTTTTTTTACCTCGAAACAAAGTTATTGAGGAAATCGCAACGCAACTTTTGCACTTTTTGTAAACGCCACCTTAACACCTGAAGAAACAACTAAATTTAATTTTTTCACCATTTTTACTAATGCGGTATGGTGTTGATTCACCATTTTGCTTAATCGACCTAGCTCGTCGTGGAACACTCTCTATATGGTATACCCACGCCTATTGTGTGATGACTGGTCGATTTATTTTTATTACTGATACATTTATCTGTGTTTATTTATGTAGAAAGTGGATACCTACGTGACAACGTGTACAGGTACTTAGTTTATATTTAGATGAGTTTAGAAACAACTGGTTGAACTATGCAGTTTACTGATAAAGTTGTACTAATAACTGGTGCAGGTTCTGGAATTGGTGCTGCAACTGCTCGACGATTTGCGCGGCTTGGAGCGTTTTTGGTATTGCATGGGAGAAATAAAGTTAATCTCGAAAAAGTAGCCGGCGAATGCGTGCAAGTTAATGCAAACAAACCACTGGTACTAACTGCAGAATTAACTAATGATTCCGATGTCAAAGCCCTTATTGATTCCATTATTGACCACTACGGGAGACTGGACGTGCTAGTAAACAATGCTGGTATTCTGGAAATAGGTACAATAGAGACCGTAAGTCTGGAACAGTATGATAACGCCATGAATACAAACATGCGTTCACTGTACTATTTAACAATGTTAGCTGTGCCTCTTTTGATAACATCCAAAGGAAACATTGTGAATGTGTCAAGTATTGCTGGGCTGCGGTCGTTCACGGGCATTTTACCATACGCTCTATCAAAAGCGTGCGTAGATCAGTTTACACGATGCGTAGCATTGGAACTGGCAGCAAAAGGAGTGCGTGCAAATTCTGTTAATCCCGGCGTAATTATCACGGACATTCACGTGAAAGGTGGTATGAGCGAGGATGAATATGAAGCATATCTAGAAAAATGTAAAACAACACATCCACTGGGCAGAGTAGGACTGCTTAGTGAAGTAGTCTCCACCATTACCTTCCTTGCAAGTCAAGATGCTAGTAACATTACTGGTGCATGTATTCCAGTTGATGGAGGTAAACACGCACTATGTCCTCGTTAAACTACAGAAATATTCATACCTAATTACCTACTAATTATAATAAGCGGGTCATGCGATAGCTGTAGCTATGGTGAATTATATTTATTGTATCATGATGGTGAATGACATAATTTAGTTATAAACATGTACAGTGGCGGATTTACATGTAGGAACACTAGGCACGTGCCTAGGGGCGGCAGTTTTAGAGGGCGGCATTTTTTCGCACTATATTTATTTTAGGTAATATTTTTAAGTTTTAGTCCCCTAACAAGTTACAACAGGACAAACATTTTTTATTAAAATTATGGAATAAATTGGAATTGGTAGATAGTTTAAACAAACTGTAACTGTAACAACCTTAGGTACCTATACTGTATTTCTTTTCATATTATAGTTTTAAAAATTTCATGTTACAGTACAACCTCGATAATCCGAATACACGCTAGTCCGAAATCGCGATAGTCCTCGTAACAACGATGACACCCCTGAAGACGTTGAAAAGAATAAAGTTTATTTCTTAATGCTTGTCCGAAAGGTCGGTGGTGCGAATCTATTCGGATTAACGAGGTTGTACTGTGATGTGATTTTTATTAGCATCTTAAAATTTATTGCAATTTAAAGATTATTTTTGAAGGGGCGCTTATCTTTCGGTGTGCCTAGAGGCGCAAAAAAATTTAAATCCGCCACTGCACATGCATTGTATATACATTGATTAGGTACCTACCTTTATAAAGTATGAACCATTAAAATCAGTCGCTTTATTGCACTTGCACCCATTATTTATTGAACGAATATGAACAACGGCGGTGCTTAAGATTTCGCCAACACGGTCTAGTTGCTCTTTATTGTTGCGAATGAAACTGAATAAATTGAAATGTGTGTGATGAACAATATCTCATTTATTTTGCACAGAATAGTGGGATAGAAATTTAAGTGTCTAGAAAGTCCCACCTTTCTTCTTCAATCGCGTATCATGGCTGCTATATTTTTTGCCGCAAAAATTTGATATTAATGATGCAAAAGAGAAAAATAGTTGATATTTGAATGTATGAGGCGCCGTTTGTGCCATAAATAACTATTACCTACCCAAAATCGTGCTGTAACGTTCATTTTCATGCCTACTTTCTGTCAGGAAATTATAGTTTCCATGACAGAGGCAGAGCAGACCCAAGGATACTATATAATATAAGGATTGCTGGATCACTGAATTTTTTCGCCACGTGTAGTGAAGTCACTCGCGGACCCAGTACCAGCGTTTGCTTTGATTAAGGCCGATTCCAATTATAGCAGCATCGAGCAGCGCGGCGCGGTGAAAAGCTGCTATCAATTGTTCGCATGTAAATAAGTAGATCCGTTTTCACCTAGGCAGAGCGGTGCAGAGCAGAGCGGCGCGGTGCAGCACAGCAAATTTTAAACGCGTCGGGAAGCATTGGAATACGCGGCGCTGTTTTGAAACGCGCCGCTCTGCGTGTAGACGGACAAGTGGGAATCGAGGAGCGAAGCAGATCAATCAGCGTGGTGCTGCGGCTTGTGAAAAGCATTTATTTGTCTTCTGTGTTGAGCTTGCGTGTGTTTTAGTGGATTCGCTGTGGACGGACAAAGAATAGAAAAATTAATTGTACTCGTCCGCTTTCTTTTTCTTCATTTTTCGTCGTGTACATGGCATAGTGCTGCTATAAATATTATGAAATCATCTGGTGATGATGACGATGATGGCTCTTCTTCGAGCGTGTAAGAATACATTCTCCCTTAAACTGAACACAAACAGAAACGCGCTGCTTCGTCATGTGTCCAAATGGTGCTTAAGTGGGAATACCCCTCTACAATCTACTGCTGCTAGCGACGCGCCGCGCTGCTCTGCGCCGCGCCGCTCGGTGCAGCTCTAATGAGAATCGACCTTTAGGATTACCATAAAATACGTTCAAATGGGTGTTGTAGGCAGGCATTTACATTAGAAACACTTGTCTATTAATCTCGCTTGCAGCACCATATCCATTCCTTGCGTATTAATCCATCGGTTTTAGGGAAGTTATGGTAAATGACTTCCGGGTTAGTGATTTTTGTGCAAACACGGCTGTTGTTACAGTCTAATATTGCACATCGGCGTCCGGGCGTCCATGCGTTTGTCACTTTACCGACCGCACCGTCACTTTACCGGCCGCATTTTTGACATTGCTAACTGTCTATAATGACTCATGCCATCACTGACAGATTGACATAAATCAAAAGTTCTATATGAAATTTGAAATTGTACATTACAGTACGATTTCGGATAAAATTTAATACAAAACTTTTCAGTAAAATGACATTACTTGACTCGGAAATTAAAGTACTCGGCCCCTTCAATATTTAATCGCCAGTAGTGTATCATTTTCGGGACTTTTATGGAAATAACTATTATAAAAATAATGGAGATATGCAAAAATATTTAATATAAAAATCACTAAAGTATTAAAATATATCACACATTTCACATTATATATCATTGCCGAAAAGAAATAATTCACATTGGATTTTTTCTATTTCGGTGTCACAATGATGATTTTGTACAACTGTTTTCGGCCGAAAACAGTTGTACAAAGACAGTGATTGTAGTCGTTTTTTTTTGGTAACTCATCTCTTAAGTTGGCAGTTACTACAAATAGTTAGTACAAGTAGGTACTTCGTTGGGTACTTCCATACGCCCGAAGATGTGCTTTGTTCACATCGACTGACTTTGATGTGAACGTGAATGTCACTGCATTCTCGAACCTACCACATCGAGCGAAAAGTTGATCGAACGCAACGACTGGTCTAGACCACTCGTTGCGTGAAAGTCATGCGCAGTTGCAGCTACAGGACGAATCTTGCAGCTGTTTTGCTATAGAGGTTATTCAGTGCCCTAACCTATAAATTCACATATTTTCTGTGAAATAAAACATGGAATTGTTCGAAGATTTTCTGGTTATTAATAGCAGTATCCATAATGCAAAAACAAAACAAAATACAAAACTGACAAATGACAGTTCAATTCTTGTCTGTGATTGGTTAGCGCATAAAGTTTGTCCACGATTCGGGAATGCAGCTAAACTTGAACTTATCCCTATCGTATACGATCATGACGTCATGGCAGCCGGTCACATCACATGCACATCACGGAGCATATCGACTAACTTCGGGAATCGATGCCCATGTTTGAACTTCAAAATGTCAGTCTTACTACGCTGCCAACCTAAAACTTAACGGCATAAAAAGTGTTCCCAACATAAAACATGTTAGTTCTAATGTTCCCTATAGTTTCTGATAATGATTTTTTTAATTAAATTAAAGCACCGAAATAGAAAAAATAGTATGAAAAACGCGTGTTACAATGCTTTATTGTAATACTCCTATCTTGCGGACACTCGTGGCTACGCAAGATAGTCGTATTACAATAGGTCGCATTGTAACACTTGTCTTTCAATATACTATTGTATATCCCCATCTGCATTAGTTTGTAAATATCTACCATTGAGCGTGTGCCCAATAGCAATGTTGGTTGCGGACAACAAAGCGTGAGGCGCTATTGAATAGAAATAGAATAATATCAATGATAATATAAAGAACAGTAACAGCTTTTTAAATTTGCTTGTCGCGCGTGTGTTAGCGTTGCATCATAGCATTGAATAAGTAATCATATGTTATTCAATGATCATAGTGTAAGAATAGAACACTATGGTTGCATGCACGGCATTAGTAAAATAATTAGATAACAAAAACAAATAAACCCATAACTTAGGACATATTAGAAACGTCATCAAAACTTAAAAACACGTTGTAAAGGAAAAATTCCAAAAACATAGTTAGGCGTAAAAAAAGATCAGCGGTCACGTAACCTTTACAACTGTTTCTTCGATCGTTCCTGTAAAAATATACGTATCTCTTGTAGTACCAACAATTGCCTCTAGACAACCTCCCAAGTGTCGACGACAAGTCACGTACTCTGACGTCGGCAAATAAAAAATTCAAAATCTCCGCACAAGCTTGTGGTGGACCCAGGCCAGTCCCGAGAGACTGCGCAACTCAAGATTTAAATTCAAAACTTTCCCTCCCAAACTAACTGAACCCCATGACACGTGATCGTCTAGACAAAGCTACCTAACCTGAATAACCAAATAATAGGACCACTTACTACGTTGTGTTTTTAAGAGTCGCTACAAGATATGTGCTGCTTGTCGGAGTGAGGATCAAGTAAGGATTACAAATAAAACAAGTACATGCTTTAAAAAACGGAGATTTAATCCAAATAATTTTCATTGCAAGATTAAATTTAGAAAATGGTAGTTCACCGAGTACAAATATAAAAATAGGCTGGGAAAAAGAACTGACCAAGAAAAAACCCAGCCAACAAATTAATATTGAACTTTATAGCAAAATTAGTTATCTGTAATGGCATGAATGCATGTTGTCAAGTACAGCAATACAATGTCGAATCCCAGGCTCTACTGGAATTCCTAAAGAATAAATATTACACACACACATAACCAAAAACAATCATTAAAACATTACAATAAATTCATATACCTAATAGGTTTGGATATTGGATGGCCAGTCCAAATCCCACACCGAGTAGTCTTTAGTTGCTCTGGTCATGACATGTCAACATTGTATGAAATCGCTAGGAGTTGGCCTCTCAGAAGAGCCTTTCACATAGGAAGGATATAGTTGTTTAACACAACCGTAAGGTCACAACGAGAACACGCCACACGCTTTTAGCGAATCCCTGCGCAAGTGAGGCCGGGCTTAGCCGGCAGCCCCATGTACGACGAGCGGGATCCCAATTCTTTCATTCATACATCTCTAGGGCCAGTCCAACCCACTAGTCTTAAAATGCCGGGTTATAAATTACCGAACTCCAGGCTCTCTACCATGAGTACTGACAATAACCGATCAAATGACAAATCATGACATAACATAAATAACAGAGTAACCAACGGCAAACTCGCACGCATACATAATTATAAACAAAATATACACAATTCATGTAGGCGTTGACAGTCAACATATTTGCACTGGCATAACAAAGACTGACACAAAACCAATATTCGGTCACTACATGACAGGGATCGATTAAACGAATTGATTAGCAATATCGGCAAGATGGCTCTTTTCAAAGACACAACAAAAAAAAACAGTACATAAAATATATATCTCTGCGTATGTCAGTTCTGAACTTTAGCCAGCCTCTGCTACGTCAAATCGAGATATTAAATATGGGTATCAAATATCAATAGCAAATATAGCACAGTAAATTCGAAGCAAGTCACCCCGCCAAATATTAATAATCATAATCACCCGGTTCAAATAAATAGTTAGGAGCATACATTTTAGTACAATCACATTACAACAATACAAAGGAACATGTCGTGGCAAACATTGGTATCAAGTAATTAATTCACAATGCCAAGTGCAATATGTAACAATCAACCACCTAACGTACGTCACTCGCCCCCAGATGAGGCACCCTGTAAATACACAGTAACATAATCAGGTAAACAAAAACGAAATGTGCTGCAATAAATTCAATTATAAATTAAAATGTAGTTCTGCATACTTGTATTGGATATAGCCCCGAAGGGAACATACAGTATCTAAATATAAACAAAAACACGTAAATCGGTCAGTAATTACCCAGTATAATTAAAACTGCAATTGGTATCTGGAATGTGTCATAAATGGCACAAATCAATGCTGTACGAGAATAAAGTTAAATTGGCAAATAATTTAACACGGTCATCGTTATTAGAGGGATGCAATAGACGTAGAGATAAATAAAACGAGTACATTACCTTTGTAATTGTCGAAGCTGCACTCACGATTCGCAACGTAAAGATTTACTTCTGGTCACAACAAAAGCACACATACTTCTGCTTAAATTTCCCCTTTGCAGGCAAATCCTAGACGAAAACAATTCTTAATATCGAACGTGCCTCGAGACGGGTCGATATGGATCATTAAGTTTTCTCGCATAGCGTAATATTTGACACTTTTATTGTAAATTATGGCCCATTTCAATGTAGAGCAGAGAAGAAAAAAACACGTGTTCCACGAAAACGAAACAAAGCGCAATCTTGACCTTTTTCATCGCGCCAGGCTCGGATTCGGGAATATTTAAATAGAATTTTAGCGGGATAATTCGGTTCCATTACAAGCTCAAACTTACCGCTACAAAATTATTACTCAACATCCGTAAATTCAAATCTCCCACATAAATTCAAACTTACCGCGACAAACAAAATTCCCTCATAGATTCAAATTTCCCGCAACAAAATGTCCTACATCTGGGAATAAAAAATGGCCAAACATACGGAAAGTCAAAAATTCAAATTTCCTGCATAAATTCAAATTTAGTACAAACCACGTGCACAAATTCAAATTTACTGCGACAAAATGGCCGACATCTGGAAATTGAAAAGTTCAAATTTCCCGCGACAAAATGCATGGCCGACATCCAGAAATTCAAAATTTAAAATTTCCCGCGACAATTTCAAAATTATCACCAATCACGAGGCGTGACGTAAGCACGTGACCGTAACGAAATTTAGTACAAACCACGTGCACAAATTCAAATTTACCGCGACAAAATGGCCGACATCCGGAAATTAAAATTTTCCGCGACAAAATGGCCGACATCCGGAAATTAAAATTTTCCGCGACAAAATGGCCGACATCCGGAAATTCAAATTTCCCGCGACAAATTCAAATTTATCACCAATCACGATGCGTGACGTAAAGCACGTGACCGTGACGTCAGAATGGAGGGGCGTACTGAGCTCTTACTACTTATAGTTGGTAACTTCATTTAAACAATATACCTACCCATTTTTATGATTTCTTTAATTGAATAGGTATCATATAAAATACATTACCAGACCAGGGGTGCGTGTCGTTCGCTAACGGTTAACCTCTAGGGATTCACCAATTACATTGCAGAATTCGCTTTAAAATTTACGTCATGGTGGTAGAATGGACTCAAACGAACTTAACCTTTACCGAAATTGTTTATGCTGGAAGCGAGATTAAAAACCCGCCCCACCTCATTCACGGCATAAATAGAAGTTACTCTTGTAATTGATTCCCTATAAAGATGTCACTGATTGAATTTTGGGCCGCTAGATAAGTAGAACAATATAATGGTAGAACATTCCGAAATGTCAAGCAAAGAAGTGAATATATTCTCTAGTCTCTGCGCACACGGGTGGATTGATTTGAAATGCAAGTTCCAAACCAGTCAAATGAAAAACAAGTTTGCGACTAGAATGTCACTTCTCTACACACAAACACGCAACTAGTTTTGGACTACACAAACCTTGTCATCCAATCAGAAAACTAATATCATCGAACAACTTCCTAAAATGGTGCAATCTCGCAACTGTCCAACTGAAACCATTTTGCGCTGGTAAGAACGATTGCAAGCAACCAGTTGGAAACTGCTTTCAAATAGGTCACGTTTTATGTCGATCTGTATGTGGTCCCTCACTCATACGCATGGTATACCAAACCGTTGTATGGTCGATTTGTTTGCAATTCGAGTTGACCCGTTGTCGGAGGGCCTTACCCTTTGCGACTACTTACTTTTGTGAGAGTGGATCACATGGTGACAACAAAAACAAAATGTGAAAATTGCATGCTGAACCAGAATTAATATTGAAACCACCAAAATAGCACCATAACATCGACATAATTTGCCACAGCAAACAAGTCTGTCCCTTATAAATACAAGGTGTAAATTGAGTAGGACAACATGGCTACATCTTTGTTATTATTTACCTTTATGTAGTTTTTGATGCTGATGAATATTACGATGCGATATTTTGAATTTGAAAAAAATAAATTGTTTCGTAAATAATTGGAAAAAAATGAAAATCGCCATTTCAAAAAATTCAAATACTTATTTTAGCAACAAAGAGAGCTATGGAAAAGTTTCAAATAAAAGTTACAAGATTCAATGGGATAAATTCAATGGACGTAGAAACTTTTTTCAAAATGGCGGATTTCGAGATATTGACATCAACTTCTTTTAAATGGACGCCATATTGGATTTTTTTAAGTCACTCGATAGAAAAAAAATTTCAAAACCAGTGATATTAAACACTTACAGTATTTCATTTGAGAATCAACCTTGCATTATTCTACCTCGAAGTTTACAACGTACCTACTTCTACTTCTATTAACAAAGATAGATGTTATCCTACTCAATTTAAGACACCCTGTATATTAATTGATAGCTCATTAATATCTAAATTTGTATGGATGAATGTATTTAAAGTTTCTTCTTTCTAATTTTTTCTGATGAGAACCTCAAATATTTTGCTACTGATACTGGTTCCTTTAAGTGTGCAATTAAAATCTATTTTTTTCAGTTTTCAGCTTTTAAATTTTGTTGCAATGTAAGAAGCTATACTTACACAACGTGTGTATGAGAAATCATGGAAAAGTTAGGGAATTCTGGCTGTAATAAAATAAGTAAATCACAGTACAGAAGTGAAGCTTCTTAATTTTTTATTCAATGTCTGCATACAGTCGATCCAAAAATACTTCGTTGTGAAGGTCGTTTTTTGACTAAATTCTAACATTAGTCCAACATATGAAATTTGTCGCGTAATTTTGGAATCAAAATGGCGACCGAATTGCGCTACTTTGTAGAGATAGAGTGACTTTATACCTAAATGTGTTACCCACAAAATGCATTAGGTTAGCAATGTTGTATGTGTATATCTGTGTTCGAACTTTCGATTTTCAATGCGCCTTGCGCTGTCGTAGAGCTGTGCCGGTTTCTAGGAGTGTAAATTTTTAAAATAAATTGGTGTTAAACCGCCATCGCGCTTATTACAGATAGAGCCGTGATAACGACCGCGTGGTAGTACAATAATTTTGTACAGCGTTTCTCAGGAGTTTAACAGTTATAAAGTTATTAACACTTTTACACTTTGTGCTCGCACCTACTATTAGAGACATTTATATTTTTTTTGCACTCTTTAAGTCTTTACAGAGTTTGCATCATTTGTGTGCATCCGCACCATTGTTTTTCCTGGAAACATCGGACTACCCGGTAATAACACGGAATCGTCAACCTATAAATTAACAAATGTCAATTAATTAATCGCCTAGATATGGCAAAAAAAGCAAACCTGTTCTTATTTGTGGACGTATAGAAGATAATCAAGAGTAATTAAAGCTTCCCGTACTACGCGGTTACCATAAAAGCTACTCTTTACGCAATCCGAGTGGTGTTCATACGACTTTAGTTTACCCTGAGATTCACATACCCACGACTACAGTGCCCTCTATCCGTGACCACCCATTTTGTATTGAAAGCATAGGGCTAATAGCAGTCCATGTACTATATGGTCTAAGAACTAATTACACTAGTAATTAAAGAGTAAAAATCTAGGTAACTGTAATCAGAAGTATACGCTAACAAGGTAAATTGATAAAATCGATCAATTGAATGGAAGAATGTAAATTGGTATTATTGCAAATCACATTACATCATGTCATTGTTGTTTTGGCAAATTTAAAACTTCAAAATTTTAATATCATGGCCTGAAATTGTAAATATATTGGTAAAATTAAATGCAGAAAAAAATTTAAAACTAAAAATCCGCAAGAGATGCCAGGCCACGTATTTTACTTGTTACAGACAAAAACAAAGTATAAGGTAATCCTTTTAGAAAGAAATTATTCAGTTACATGTAGGTCAAGCTGGTGTACAAATTGCCAGTGCTTGTTGGGAACTGTACTGTCTCGAGCACGGTATTCAACCAAACGGACAACTTTATGATTATCGCAATGTTTCACCTGATAGCTTTAATGCATTTTTTGGTATGTCGGCAGCAGGAAAATGTGTTCCAAGAATCCTTATGATAGACCTTGAACCTTCAGTTATAGGTAAACAAAATTTGCCAAATGATTAACAAGTGAAATCTCGAAACACTTTCAGACGAAATTCGTACGGGTCATTACCGATATCTGTTCCATCCAGAATGCCTTATAACTGGCAAAGAAGACGCCGCAAATAATTTCGCGAGGGGAATGTACTCGATCGGTAGGGAAATGATTGAGCTTGCTTTGGATAGAATACGAAAAGTGGCAGATGATTGCAATAGTTTACAAGGTTTCATTCTGTATCGAGCATTTGGTGGAGGGACAGGATCTGGATTTAGCACTTTACTTTTAGAGAGATTATGTCGCGATTACGGTCGCAAAGTGAAACTGGAGTTTGCAGTGTATCCCGCACCACACGTGCGTTTACCTAGAAGAATATAATGTAAAGCTAGCAAAAATACTTTCAGATATCTCCCATTATCGTAGAACCCTATAACACTCTGTTAACAACACATGGCACGTTAGACTACGAAGATGTCGCCTTCGTTCTGGATAATGAGGCAGTTTATAACATTTTAGCAAGAAGTTTAGATGTTCCTCGACCTACTTACACTAACTTAAATAGACTTCTTGCCCAAGTAAATGATAAAACGTATCCATTAATTTTTACACATTATTTTAGGTAGTGTCGACGATAACATCGTCCTTGCGATTTGAGGGCGCTCTAAACATCGATTTAAATGAATTTCAAACAAATTTAGTTCCATATCCCAGAATACATTTTCCACTGATTACTTATGCACCGATGTTACCATGCACTAAAGCATACCATGAGCAGCTGTCAGTGGCGCAATTAACCAACTCATGTTTCGAACCAGCAAATCAAATGATTAACTGTGATCCACGAACTGGAAAATATATATGCTGCTGCTTACTATATCGTGGAGATGTAACGCCTACTGATGTAAACAGTGCTATCGTTAATATTAAGTCCAAAAGATCAATTTTATTTGTAGACTGGTGTCCTACCGGATTCAAAGCAAGTTATCCAATGTTAAGTTCTAGAATAGTGATTTTATTTCTAGGTCGGAATCAATTATCAACCACCGACAACTGTACCAGGTGGAGATTTGGCTGCAGTGCATCGAGCGGTGACTATGGTCTCAAACAGCACTGCAATTAAAGAAAGTTGGAAAGTGATAACTCACAAATTCTCGCTTATGTACAAAAAAAGAGCATTTGTGCACCACTATGTTGGAGAAGGAATGGAAGAAGGCGAGTTTGAGGAAGCTCGTGAAGATATTACCGCTTTACAATTGGACTATAAAGAAGTAGAAATCGACAGTGTTTATTAAATCAATTAACCTGCGAGAGGATTAGCATGAATAGTAACACTGTTAATACGTGTCTCATTAAGCGGTCTGTAATTTTTCGGATTTACGGGTAACTTTTCCAACTCATCTAAAGCTTCCAATCCATCGATTACTCTAAAATTTGCATTGATTATTTGATAGGTATATCCGTGTGAATAACTTACTTTCCAAATATTGTATATTTTAGGTCCAGGTGAGGATGGGCTCCGTATGAAATGAAAAACTGGCTCCCATTTGTATTCGGACCATTGTTGGCCATGGAAACAATTCCTCTTGCGGAATGCTACTAAAAAACAAAATCGAATAAAATGTACATCACCAATATATTTTAATTCTGTCACTTCACTTTTGTTTGTGACTGTCAAATATTTCAATCAACAACTTTTGCTAAGACTCATCTATACTTGCATCTATACAACATAAATTGGCTACTCTCAATTTTCTACTAGGTACGTCGAATCCGTGATAAGAAGGTCCAAAAGGAAAAGAAGGACTTGGCGCACATTCTGTTAAGGAATCGATTGGATACCAACAGCAACGCGCCTACAAAAAGACCAATCCAATGGCATTGGGAGTCTTAAGAAACCCGATGTGAAATACACAGTGGGTGCCAGGGAAACATTAGAGCTCCCCACAAGCACTCACTTTCTAGGTTTACAGGAAGTAAAGGGCTTTCTTTAACAAATAGAGGCAGAAAGTCAGGTAAGACGTCACTCCAGAGCTTCACACAGAAGAGAGTGAAATGGGCGTTCAAACCCTTTAAGGCGTCTGGTGGAGACGCTATCTTTCCAGCACTCTTCCAAAGGGTTGTTAGATTATGTCTTAGTTTGTGCTGTGATTGTGTTTGGTGTTATATGAAAAATTGAAGGACGAATTTGAAACAAAATTTTGAGACGAATTTGGAAGTAGTTTATTTACTATAGGAAATTGGTGAAAATCACAATATAGCCCGGTCGAGAATTTTGAGATCTTAACTTCTAACGGCAAATGTTGAGACATTTTGGTGACAAGTGTTTTTAGGGTAATTGGACCCTGCTGAATCCGATTTTGCCTGTCACCACCTCGAATTCCGGCTGCTAAGGCCTCAAATCTAGATGGCGCCCAAAATGGCGACTAAAACTCGCTTTAAAATTTGTTGTAACCAAAGATATTATTGGGGATTTACGATAATTCAACCGGTTTAACCGGGTTGGTAGATTTTGCTATGGTTACAATTATTGAGACAATTGTTTCTATGGTGATTTCTATCAACCCGGTTAAACCGGTGGAATTATCGTAAATCCCCCTTATGATTTTTATCTAGTACATACGTTTAATTATTTATTACTATCGTATAAAAAAATATGTAGCCAAAAACAAATTAAGATGGTGGCCAAAATAACGGTAGAAACTTGTATTAACTAATTTCTTTAGTTGCAAAGAAAAATTTGCATTTTTTACATGGGGTTGATACAAATAGGTTAAAAATGAGTTTGTCTACCTACTATTGTTAATAATAACAATTTGCGAAAAAATAAAACAAAATGGTTCCCAAAATGCGGATAGTATGACTTTTGATGATATTTTAATAGCAATTATCGAAATCTTTTTGAGTGCATTAGGGAGGTATTAATAATTATATTATAAGATCCTTATTAAGTTTTTTTAGTTTTACAAATAGAACGCCAAATATTGTTTATACCTACAGCATTTGAAACGCACGCGTAATTTAGGACTTCCATCACAGCGACGACGCAACGCGCGCAGAGTTACCGATAGCGCGAATCTGCTGGCTACATGCTAGGTACCAAGTTCGAAATATTTTGACTGTGGGTGTGCCGTGCCAAAAGCATGCAAAAGCAAAAGTTTGGTACATTGTGGTTGCAAGAAAGGGTGCAAAACTAACATGTGCAAGTGCCGGAGAACTGTAAATTCGAAAGGCAAACGCATGCTGTGCACCAGAAGTTGCCAATGCAAAAGCGTTTGCACCAACAACGAAAGCTTGTGCAAACTTCGGATTCAAGTGACGAATCCGAATAAAGTCTAATGTTTTTGTTCATTTCTATTTTTTTAAGTTTTGTTTTCAATTTATTTTTTTATACAGAGTTTGTATACGGTAATAAATAATATGAAATTAAACGAAAAATAATGATTTTAATACTACCTGTATATCGCATACAAAGAGTCAAACTAAGCGCCATCTTGTCCGCCATTTTTGAAAAAGTTTAAGTAAAGTTTTTGTATTTCTTTTTTACTTAAGCAGGCACTTTGTAAACAAATTATAATTCTTTTGCTCACTTAAGGTAGAATAAATCAAGAATACTGCAAAACGCGGCATTTGGAGCTCTATTTCAGCCGCCATCTTAAATTTTTTTGGCTTCAAAATTTTTCATAAACTAATAGTAAGTGGCAAAACGTATGTGCTACATAAAAATCATCATACTATTTTTGTTTTCAACAAGAAAAAAATGTTAAAGTGAGTTTTAGTCGCCATTTTGGCCGCCATCTTGATTTGAGGCCTTGGCAGCCAAAATTCGAGGTGGTAACAGGCAAAATCGGATTCAGCAGGGTCCAATTACCCTAAAAACACTTGTCACCAAAATGTCTCAAGATTTGCCGTTAGAACCTTTATAATACAAACAGTGAAATGAAACATGTGGTTGTGAATGCAATGCGTGATTTTTTTTCTTTTTCATTCCCATAAGTCGTGTAAGCTTAGATACGTGTTGACAATGCGGTTCTGTCAGTATCCATTTGCATTCTAGAATAACGTATTTTTACCTTCTGTCAGCGATTTTATTATTATTCGTGTTATTATTTTTGTAAGCGACAGTTCCAGTAGATTCCTTGAAGCCCAGCAATTATCTCCTTTGGCTGACGCGTCTTTTTTTTAAAATTAAGTAAAGAGTTTATTATAATGTCCCTCAAAATACAAGGCAATTAGATGGCCGGTGTCAAGTAACCCCCCACTTTTGGAATTTTCAGAAAATGTTTTTGCAATCGTTTGTTGGTGTTTGTTAATTAGATTTTGACGTTTGTTGGTTGACCGTTAATTAATTATTCAAATTTCAAAATTTGGGCGGGCGTATAGTTAGCCCCCCACTTTTTGAATTTTCAAAATATTTTTATTGCAATCGTTTTTTGGTGTTTGTTAGTTACATTTTCAGTTTGTTGGTTGATCGTTATTTAATTATTCAAATTTCAAAATTTTGGGCGTATAGTTAGCCCTCCCAAGTTGCAATATTTCATGTGATTGGGTTTGGTGTTAGGTATATGAAAAATTGAAGGACGAATTTGAAACGAATTTGGAGGTATGTAGTATTATTTACTATATTGGTCAAAATCACAACAGAAACAGTGAAATGAAACATGTGGATGCGAATGAAATCTGTAATTTTTTTTTCTTTTTCTTTCCCCTAAAGTCGTGTAAGTTTGATGTGTTGATGATGGATTTCTGTCACTTTCCGTAAGGTACTGATCATTGCAACATTTTTTATGGCATTAATTTAAAAAAATGTCAATAAGATTGTCCTTCCTTTCGTGGGTCACGGCAGTATGCAAACAGGACCTGGTGCTACATGGAAGTATACGGGCAGGACCAGGTAGTACATCGTCAGGACTTAGCAGTACAAAGAATTACTGGCAGGATAGGGGGAGTACACCAAATACTGCCAATTTCGGCTTAGAAACGCATAACGTGCATTAATGGAAAATTGCCAGTATGTTGCTGAACTCGTTGCTGAAAGACTTTTATCATATAATAAATGAAGAATATAAATGCTACCCCGGCGGTAGCATTTTTGACAAAGACATGGAGCTGTTGGACAACATAAACCAAGCAGAGACACGTGCAAGGTGTGGTTTGGGGATGCAAGAAAAACGAAGACGTGATCACAGAGTACTGTGAAGGAGATCCTGTCCAAATCAATAAAGCTGGTTTTGCAGGCAGTTGAAATTGAAAATATAATAAATTAAACAAATATAGCAAACGGGCTCCTGGGTATGGCTATAGCATGTGCAAAACCAAATTTTAAACCTGATGTTAGTTTTGCTTTTATTTAAAGTGTATATGTATGAAATTCCATTTGAATGCCTCCATAAGTAAGAAAGTTGGCACTGCGCATGCGGAAAACCAAATTTTGAAACTGGTGTTAAATTTTCTTTTATTCCAAGTGGCTATGAATCAAATTTCATTGAAATCCCTCCATAGATAAGAAAGTTGGCACTGCGCATGCGCAAAACGAAATTTTGAAACTGGCTTTAAATTTGGTTTTATTCCAAGTGCCTATGTATCAAATTTCATTGAAATCCCTTCATCAATAAGATAGTTAGCACTGCGCATGCGCAAAACCAAAATTTGAAACTGGTGTTAAATTTGTTTTTATTCCAAGTGGCTATGTATCAAATTTCATTTAAATATTAATTCATAAGTAAGAAAGTTTGCAATTCGGTCTGTCGAGATGCGCAAATGACACTGTGAATGCTGATCGATTAGGCTCATCTTTTGGAATTGTGTTTTATATGGCTAAAGTTATGCGCATATTTCATGCAATTCGGTTCATAACTAACGGAGATGTCAAAAGGGCCTACTTTATTTTTTGGTCTACATTGCCAATTCACGAACTCCGATCTACAAATTTGATAAAGAATCCACCTGTAAAATTTCATCGTAATCGGTCCATTCGTTTATGAGTTATCATGCTAACGGACGGACAGACACCGCAAAATTATAAACTCGCTAGGAGCTCGTAAATAAACTAAACAAATATAGAAAACGAGCTCTGGGTATCGCTATGTAGGTATGTGCAAAACCAAATTTTAAACCTGATTTGCTTTTATTTAAAGTGTACATGTAAGAAATTTCATTTAATTACTTGCTTAAATAAGAAAGTTGGCACTGCACATTCTGCACAAAACCAAATGGCGCTAGATTTACTTTTATTACAAGTGGCTATGTATCTAATTTCATTTGAAGGCCTCCATAAATAAGAAAGTTGGCACTGCGCATGCGCAAAACCAAATTTAGAAAATGGCGTTATATTTGATTTTATTCCATGTGGCTATGTATCAAATTTTATTTAAATACCTTCATAAATAAGAAAGTTTGCAATCCGGTTTGTAAATGGTCAAGATGCGAAAAGGGCACTGTGAATGTTGATCGATTAGGCTCAATTTTTGGGATGTGTTTTATATGGCTAAAGCTATACGTATATTGAATTTCATGCAATTCGGTTCATAACTCATGGAAATGTCAAAAGGGCCTTCCTTATTTTTTGGGCTACATTGCCAATTCACCAACTCCGATCTACAAATTTGATAAAGAATCCACCTACAGAATTTCATCCTAATCGGTCCATTCGTTTATGAGCTATCATGCTAACGGACGAACGGACATCACAAAATTGTAAACCCGCTAGGAGATCGTTAATAAAGGAAGACTTTAACAGAGTGATGAGAAAAAATGGAGATCTTTTTATTGTTTTTTTACGTGATGTACAAATACATTTGACCATTGTCTGATTTTGAATATTAATTTGATTTGTCTTATTTTCCTTACTGTTACTGATATGTAATATGCGAGGTAAGATGTAGATGATATTTTAAATAGTTTTTGCTTACTAACAATCATTACAAAAGGATCTCAGTATGAAGACTGCATTTTAGAGTGTATAGTAATGCAATGTAGACCACATTTTAGAGCGGCACCTTAAAGACTTAATTACTATCTGTGTTCCAGTCTGGGATAGTCGACTGTGTACAACAAGAGCACACGACTAACAAATATTCAATAGTGTTAGGCAGGAATAAGGATTGTTTACAATTTACATACCTTCAATTCTTCTTTAAACTCGTCTTCAAATTTTTTGTTCCAAATAGAATTGCCTCCTTTACCAGTTCCACCTGGGTCACCAGTCTGTACAATAAACCCTTTAATGTTGCGATGAAACAAACAGCCATTGTAATAGTCACTTGCGGCCAATGCTAAGAAATTTGTACAAGTTTTCGGGCAAATTTCACAAAATAATTCAAGTTTGATATCCCCGACGTCGGTATGTAAAGTCACAGACTAAAATATAAAACAAGAGTATAATGTAACTATTATAATAAAAGATACCATTTTTAATTTATTTGGATAATAGACGAGAAAGTGAACTAGGTAGAAATAAGGTTAGTTATTTGTTGAATGTTGAGGACTTGAGGTTATGTATGAAACGATGTGAACGATTTAAAGAAAGTAAGTCAGTGGCGTCTCATCCAACAGGGTCATGGTAGGGCAGATAAAAAACAAACAAACCTGTTGACCATTGTATATTTACTAGAAGTAGACCAACGGATTCAAACGCGAGCGACGAGAAAGTGGAGGTACATAACGGTATTATGTTCATGTTGAACTAAAACCATTGAATAATTTATTATTCAATGCTAAAACGGATAAATTGGAGGTTTATACCTGCACTAAATGAGAGTCACTGTAGACAACTATACTACAAGAGAGACAACACTTCTAAACGGCAAGTATGCATTATTCACTGTATTTACAGACGCGATATGATAACAATAGGTTTTTGTATTGTCTGTTTCTTTTCAAGTATGGCCTTGTGTAGGTGTATTCTACAGAAACATCGTTTCACTTTCAGCCTGACGATTTACCGTTTTTTACAGAATAATTCGGGAATTTTAGATTCTGTTATCAGGAATCTAAAGTTTTGATACTTTTATAAATACTTAAGTATAGTCATTGTTTAAATACTTTATTTAAACAATGGTATAGTTTTCTAAATATACTTAATTTTGGAAAAGTGGTTGTGCAAAAAAATTTAAAACCAGCTGAACTCCCATAACTACACACAGATAACACGTATTGAAATAGAAACGCAGATGCTTAAAATATTGAATACAGTATCACCAAAATAAAATGTTCAGTACATTTTCAATGATAAAAAATGTGATTTATTATTCCTGCACTTTTCGACTGCACATGAGGATTTACGGAGATTTTTGCTTTTACGTTTACCTTTAAATGCAATTTGATCTATGTAAATAAGGAAAGGAATGTTCTAGGTCATGGAAGAACAATGCGTCTTGTGTTAAAGTACGATTACGACGATTAGGTATCATTATGGTGCGGTGCTTACACATATTATAGGATCGGATAAAAGTTTTACTCAAAATCGAAAGCATCTTTACTATTTCGCGTATCAATGAAATACATCTTAATTTCAAGAATAGCTACTTACCACAGAACCATTGTATATTAGAAATTAGGTTCAATGCTGACAACTTCGCTGCCCAAATGAGTTTTATTCTAAAAATTGGGTTTTATTAAAGTTTTACACTGTGGTGTTTTGCACTGGTTCATTTACGGAATATCTACGCGGGAAATAATGCTTTAATTGGTTAGGCACCGGGCTAAACACGCATCTTACTTATCGACCTCTGCATTACAGACAGCTACATTTTTGAACAAATAATCTTGCGACTCTAGTGTCTTCGCTATCTATGCGTGGTGTCCAAAAGTAAACGACCGTTCGCCTACTTGTAATACATATACAATGATCACATACACACAAATACTCATGCACATAGTCTAAGCACATACGACATACTCACCTGTATAATCAATGCAAGTAGTACAGTGAAGTAGCTAAAGGCATTGATTATACTTATACACACTGTGTATAATAATCAATGCTAAAGGATTTGTTTATTCATTAATAGTTATTCCACCGAGCGTCAGTACGTTGGGTAAAGTCCAGGGGGTCGATTTTTGGCCGTACATTTCCTTAAAACGTATACGTATTCGTAAAGAAACGTATATTTGCAATTTTTGACCATACGTTTATATTGCGTATACGTTCAATTGTGTTCGTTTTTCTGCGAGCGGGTAAATGGCGTTCGCAAACGCTCGCAACTGACGTTTTGTGGGTTATGTATTGGTTAGTGTTGAAGTTTTGACTCTTGAGACTTGAAAGGTATCTACTAACAACAATGGATGAAGCTGTGAATGTGTTTGTAATAGACAATTTAGAGAATGCCGAACGCAATTATCGCCCGAATAGGAACCGTAATCCTTGCAACCCCATAGAAGTCTTAAATGAAGCACAATTTATCAAAATGTATTAGCTACTTCTTTCCCTGCTATTATATCGGGGTGTTTTTTTTAACAAACTCCACAAGCCACCTTTTTTGGTTTTGCGTGGTATTGCACCCTCCCTTTGGCGTGTCCATCGTGTTTTGAGTATTCATGCTAATCAGTGCCTAAAATATTTTATTCTTTAATTTGAAACAGAGACTTGCTATAACTAGACTGCGCGTAACGTATCTAAGGTGTTGTCGACACAGTATGCAACACACAATGCACCGCGGGGCAAAAATCGCTGAGATGATATGCAATATAATGGAAATAAGCTGTTATTTTAGATGTTCCGTTCATTAATCATTCTCGTGATTAGCTCGAATTAGTGAACAGATAAATTTCTGTTGAGAATAAACCAATAAACTTAGGTTAGCTTGTGCCTATCAACATGTACTCTGTCGATAAATTTTTAAATAATATGCTGATTTTCAACGGATAAAAGTTTAAAGGGCCAATGGATCAGAGCCATTCGAAGAGAAAAATTTACTCCCACCATAGTGCATTTGCGGGGAATGAAGCCGATTTTAGAAAGGTACCTACGAAGGTGTTAAACAATAATGCAATACCGAGCGTTTTCGACTTTCCCATTCACTTAAAATAACGTAGAACTATTATTCGACATCCTTTACCAGCAAGACAACGGCAATACCTATTTGCCTATTAGGTATAGACGTAACTAAGTACTTACTGGTACTAAATATATTTCAGGTTTTGTTACAAGAAAAATAGCTAAGTCTGTTAAATGTTCCATATGTGCAGATGCGATATTCGCATCAGAGAGTCATTCAAAGCTTTTAACTAGAAAAAATCGTGGAGGATTGTTGCACGTATCAAGCGATGCATTAAAAATTTGCCAAATTGCTGAAAATGTGTTCAGGTTTTTCATTCAATCCACACCACACCGCGTTGTAAACAAAATGGTTATCAGCAGTCTAAGAAAAATAAATAACAGTTACAGCCCATTTGGGTTTTTGGATAGGCATATATTGAATCAAAATCCGCTAAATAATCATATCTTACTACTTACATCTTTAGTTTTAAGAGTATATTTTTCCATACGTGTTCACCACCAAAATACACATATAAATCAAATTAGGACTAGAGTAAGGCAGTTATATACCAATTTAGTTCAAATAAAATACCAATAAATTCGATTAAAACAGTTAACAGCTATATGTTATCTTTTTTTGCTACTAAAATTTACAATAAACATGGCTAAAGCAAGCCGCAGAACGTACGTCTGCCCCGCGATGAACAGTTGGTTGCCTATCCTATCTTGACAACAGGCGTTTATAGTACAATCTACGTTACGCGCGGTCTAGTTATAACAAGTCTCTGATTTGAAATGACTGAGCAATATCTTCACCTCACCACCTAAGCTCAAACCCAAACGTCAAATAGTCCGCTTTAGTTCTAATCAATCAATAAAGGCGACGTTGTCATATGCACTCTACGTTTCGGTTCCAGGCAGTTACGAACAGTAGTCAAAAATTGCATTTGGAAAACGTATACGGTTTTATAAAGCCGGATTCATAGTTCCGTATCCGTAAGAACGGAACCGTAAAATCTTACGTTAACGAAAATAATACGATTTATAGTTACCGTAGTGGTAAGAGATGAGCATGCGCATTAGTGCGAAACGAATTCTGTCATTGTATGTCATCTGTCAGTAAGAGTAACGTGCATTTCAAAACAATAATAACCAACAAAGTGTCAATAATTATTGTAAATAAACGAAACGAACGTCAGAATAAACTCAACTGTTTGAATTATCCGACTACTACCGAACACAAGCGCGTAAGCACGATTTACCGTAAGAAATAAGATTTGGGCATTTCCTACGTACCGTAACCGTTCTAACGCAACGTTAACGCGAATTATAAATGTTCACGCGCAACAAGCAGGGTTTAATTCCAAACGTTACGGTACGGTGTTGCGGGTACGGAACTATAAATTCAGCTTAAGTCTTCGCATCTAAGCGTATACGAATAGATGCGACTGGTTTCAAAAATCGACCCCCAGGGGGCGTGTTGGGTGTGTCGCTTTCAGTAATTGTTATTTACTGACTACAGATGGCGTAGAAATTGTTACCTCCATATTGTGGTATGTAGACTGGTTGTTGATCTTGATTGACAAATTTTTTAAGTACCTTCAGTCAACTCTATGTATTCGAAATCGCGTTGTCTTGTTTCGACTTGTCGCTAAAGGTAGACCAGAAACAAGCAAAACGTATAACTTGTATATTATTTATTTAATTGTTAGTCAGTAGCAGTTTAGTTAGTTGAGCTTTTACTATTTTTGAAATCCAGGGGTTTGAACGCAAAGCATTAATTTAATTGTAAAAGCCGCTTTAAAGCCGCTTTACATAGGCAATTTTAGTGCAATGCAAGTTAGAGATACGTTACTGCGCATGTTCATACGCAATTCAGGTGCAAGAAAAATAAATAGAGAAAGTTCTATTTCACTTGCAAGTTTGGCGCAAGTTCTAGTAACTTTTCTAGTAATTTTGTCAATACCACAATTTATTTGGTTTCGCGTGTGTTATTTTTAATAAAGCCCGCTTGACATGGAGCAATAAAAATTGCAATTGCATGCAAGTTGCAAGAAAAATTGCGAAAGGCATGCGCAGTTCAAAGCCAGCTGATCAATTGCTGCAAGAGACTTGCATGCAATTTTTATAGGACCGGTGCTATTTTTCTTGCATGAATGTGCAATTCTAGGGATAAATCTAGTTGTTTTTGTGGCACCAACCTAGTAAAATACAGCGGCGGCAACTGTGATGCTGAGAGACGCAATCATTACTTGTTTTTACTAATCTTATTTATTCTTGTAATTTTCATGTTTCTTCAAGCAATCAAAATTTAATTTTCATTTGAGGTTAACAACTTTGTTGACAAATCCATATGTTTCTTCTGTTGGCAGACATGTGGCAATTGAAATAGAATTGCACCATGTCAAATACCGTATGATCAAAATACCATGCAATGCTTATTGCATGCAAGGATTTGACCTTGCAATTTCTTTCTGCAAGTTCTTGCGCGTAGTATTGCTCCATGTCAAGCGGCCTTAACCACATAACAAGCTATAGCCAGCTTAATTTCCTTTTGTTTGCTCATACCTAATGGTCAATTTTATTAAGTTTCAAGAATAACCTTCTGTGTAAACAAACTGAAAAGTTTCAATTTTTGAAAAATATGTTGTCAGTACTGCAACACTTTTCTGAACTTGCACAAAAGTTGCAACACAATTGCATAAATGTAAAACCGTAATAAGCAATGCAAGGCAATTTTAGATTGCATAGCACAAGCCTTGCATTGCACTAAAATTGCCTAATGTAAAGCGGCTTTAAGAATGGTATTTCTACCTACTATAATTAATGAGAATGACGAAAAGGAAACGCTACTGATCTACAGCTACTGCACATTTATTTGTTTAGGTATTTTTTAGTTTTATAGTTGGTAACCTGCAGCCGCAATGCAAATTGGTTATCCTTGGTAAATGGTAGTGGTTGGTTTCTAACAAACAGAATTTTTTTTACATTAGAAACGTTGGTGCTGCTTGCTCTTTACCTGTTTTTAGAAGTAAGATACTTTTACCACAAAGCAGATTAATGCATAGAATTTTAATCACTAGAATTATAGTATGCTGAGCTAGCGATAATTACCAAGTGAGTGTAAGTATCTTCTATTTTAACACTGTTTATGTGCTTATCTTATTTATTATTTGTTTGTGTTAGCATTTTAGTTTATAATATATTAATAACGGTAACTAGGGTGTGCAACAGGTTTCATAGGATTTGAGGTTATAGATCAAAAGAAAAATTTTCTGAATATCTGAAGTTGGGCTTTTCGGACAAGAAACTGCTGACCGTTTGCACCTACAAATTTAAGCGGAGCTTAGCTTAAGCGTAGCTTAAAATCCATGACAACGATTATTGAAACAATAGTTGCCATGGATTTTAAGCTACGGTTAAGCTAAGCTCCGCTCAAATTTGGCGGTGCAAACGGCCATGAGACTAAGAAACAGTTAAGCGTGTTCTCCTGATTAGTGATTAGTAGTTTGAACCATTGAAAATTTGTTACTTTTTTATATCATGCTTATTAGAGATCTGGAAGTTGCAATTCTTAAGTTTTATTGCAAGTTAGTTATAATAAACCTTGTAATAAACATTTGCTTCCTTCACGGTACTGCACTATATTAAGCTATATACCAGGTCAATTTTACACATAAGGTCTGAAGTTTCATGATCTTCATTTTAGTCCTCATCTTCTACTCTACTTATTTAAGTTACACAAAGCAAATCTGAAGTTGCTTAACCACAACGAACCAAGTTGGTGTTGTTTACAAAAGTGGAACCTAACTTATTAAATAGCGAACCTCCACATGGACTTACCTGATATTGCAAGGTTTTGGCATGTATGGAAGATTCTTGAATGCGTGTATTCAGTGGTCTAGTGAAGCGGGAACTGCTTTTTCCAAGAATATATACGAGGGTTGCTCCAAAATTAAAGTCTCCCATGATTTTGCATATTGTAAACATTTTATTGCAAACAATTACAGATTCTGAAATTTGACTTTTAGATAATTTTTTAACGTAGTCCGCCATTTGAAATTTTTACGCCCGTGTTGTGTCACTCTCCCACCGACTTGTTTAGGAAGTAATTGGCAGCTGGCTGCAGTTCTTTGTCGCATGTCGCTTAAGAATCTCATCATTCCCTAAGTGTTGTTTAAATTTGAGGAACAAATAGTAGTCACTGGGGTCCAAATCAAGCTGTACAGAGAATGGTCAATGATTTTCCACTAGAATTTGGCACTGGGATCCGTAGTGGTGTGGGCCACATGAAGGCGAGCGTTGTTATGGTTCAAACAAACCACTCCGTGCATTGTTTGTACATTATCACAAATTTTCCAGGCAAACGTCCTTTAAAGCAGGCCCGTTTACGACTTCTAGGCGAATGTTGGCGACTTGTGCACATTACGTGGGAAACTCATCACATCACCAATGTTTGTCTAGTTTGTAATCTGGGGCTGACTTAACATATAATTGCATGGTCAAGAAAAGGAGTAAAGAGAAAAGGGTCCTAAAGTAAGTGTAAGTGTGCACTAATCATCTACAAAAAATGAGTTTATAGCTTTTTATTTAATTACATATGTCAGTGAGTATTACCATACCACTATTAAGCATGAAAAGGCGTTTAACCCATTATAAGGACATGATTTTTTCTTGCTACCAACTGTTGACGCAATTGTTTTTGCAGTTTTTCAAATTTTTTGCATTCAAGGAAGATGTGGTCTAGAATTCAAACCGTTTTGCAATGCTCGCACGCGCTATTTGGTAGTGATAGAACGATATCACTTTTTTTTGCTGATACGATATATCGGCCGATACCGATATTTACGTGCCGATATATCGTATCGTATCGGCAAACAATAGATGGCGTTACTATTTAGACACGGTCAAGCAAAAAACAAAATAAACAAAATATGTTTTGGGGAACTTTTGAGATCATTGCCTCTACTTCAGCTTCCGAAACCAGTACTACAAAAAAGCAAGGTTGGGAAAATGAAATAATATTATATTTGGCATCTTCAACTCTATTAAAAGATAAATCCCCTTTTGAGTGGTGGGAGGCAGAAAAAAACAAATTACCTATTCTGTACAACGCAGCTTCAGTCTACCTTTCAGCACCCGCTGCCAGTGTGTCAAGTGAACAACTTTTTAGTGAATTGGGTAATATTTACGAGCCTAAAAGAAATAGACTAAATGCAGATAGGGCTGAAATGTTAGTGTTTTTGCATCATAATATCAAAAAGTTAAATTTTAAGTATTAAGTATATACTGTATTTAGAACCTGCTATATTAGGTATATTTTTTGTTGTTTTTTTTTTAACTTTTTTAGTAAAAATGTTAACTTTAGAATAAAACATTTTATTTTCTTTAATAAAGTATTTCATTTATGCACTGAAGAGTTAAAACAGCTAAAAAAATTGTTTGCCGATATATCGGCGCAATTACCTTGCCGATACGATACGATACCGATAATCGGCAACAATTGCCGATATACCGATATCAATATCGGTATCGTTCTACCACTACTATTTGGTAAAACTTTTATTTTGAAAAGGTGTTCAGGGTAAACCGCATGTCCAAATTTCATTCTGGCGATGATGGTTTGAAATTTTCTCGGTAAGTGTAAATGTGTGTTGTGCCAATGTTATTTAGGTAGTGTAGAGTGCAACATTGTGTATCGCGTTGAGGGGTTGGTACAAGATTCTTGCCAATCTGCAGCCCACAATGAAAGTAAATGCCCCTTTCTATTTGAATAAAAATCACACAAACGTGTTTGATAGCTGCCTTTGTAAGTCTTGGCTTTGGTTGCCAACCGAGCGAGTTTGTCCACTTGTTCATTATTTCGTAACCCTATATGTGATTTTACATAAATAAAATAGATTAGCGTGGTTTTGTTCCAAGCAGCTGACATTTTTTTTAAATTTTTACAATGGACGGGCTGGTTTTTGTAACTTATAAGTTGAGGCTTTGAAGGTTTTTCAATACTGATAAAGAGTCAGATGCTATAACGACCTTGCTATGTTTGGCATCTTGTATAAAGCATAGCCATAGAGCCTCGTATATTGCTATTGCTTCCAAGCTGAAGATTGAAAATTGTTCCCTTATTCGGTAGAATTAAAAAATTATATTCATCTCTCAAATGCGGTTGACAGTTACCTATTCAACCCCAGTCGATTTGGAACACCCTGTATAGTAATTCTGTTAACTGACGCTGTATTTGAAGTATTTAGTTTGGCTTCATACTGTCATACAACATTCCTAATGCAAAATTGTTACGCCCAGAGTTAATTGTTTATAATTAAAAAACCATGAGTCAGCGCGTGACAAACTTTTCGCGCGATTATTATATAGTTGTATAGTGCTTGAATGCCTGTATTTCATTTTGTTTACTTTGATTTAATTCCTGAAATTTTGTGTTTGTATTACTGTACGATTTATTTTAAATACATTCTACAATCATGGTATACTGTGCAGTTGTAGGTTGTACCAATAACAATAATAAAAGCTCTTTGTCAGCTGCTGGTATTATAGTTTTCCAAATGACACGGAAATTTGTCTGCATCGGAAAAATTCCCGACTGCGTAGCAGGAGCGAATTTAACACCACTAGCATAATTATATGGGATTTATTAATCAGAAGGGCATTTCTATATGAGTATTTACCGAATAATCGCTGCAACGTAAATTTAAGCTAAACAATAAATTATCGATAATGTTTTCCATTAAAAAGTTCCAATTTGATTGGTTCAATTTTAAAAAATAACATATTTTTATATAGACCACATTTTTAGGAGATGAATACTCGATAGTACCTATTTACTATCTTCTAGCATGTGAATAGTATTTTACATTATTAGCCAGGTAGGTGAGTTTATACTGGCAATAGAAGTTACCTGTCGTATAATGTACAGGGTGTCCCATTAATAATGGTCACAGGCCATATCTATGGAACCGTTAATTGCACAGCTTTGGGAAAAAAATTTTGTTGACAAAAGGGGCCAAGAGATATCGCTGGAAATTATTTTCAAGTTTATAACTTCACCGCTAGAGGGCGTACGATTCATGGTTAAGTAGAAAAATGACCTTTTTCCTAAAATATACCCAACAAACATGCATCAAAAATACATGCATAGTAATCTTGTATCATTTTGATGCAGCTCAAATTGCTCTAGCTCCTAAAATATGAGGGGTGGGGGAAGGGGAACATCTCTTTAAGGAATTGAATGTAACTTCGGTTTAGGTTAACAGACTTTCACATAATAGGTATTGTTGGAAAGAGCTCTCTTTGTGGAATTAGATTTTACATGAATAGAATCTTTTTAGTAAATGTGATGAGTGGTAGAGGGCGCGATGTGACATTAACATAAACTTTGCAGTTTTTTTTGAAAATTTCAAATGGAACGATATAATTATTATATGATATCAAATAAGATGAAAAAGTGAGAATATCAGTGAAAACCGCATTTTGATATCTGTTTTCTAAGCAAAGATATGGCGAAAATACAAACATTCACAAATTTTAATTGCAATATTTATATTCATCCAAGTTGGATTTAAAACAAATGAACACATAGCAACCGATAATTATGTCAATGTGAATGAAGCCATGGCAGTTCAAAATTAACACTCAATCGGAGTTTTTAAATTATGAGCTACAAAAAATTTATTCAAACTTTAAATCAGAGAAATTATGAATATAAATAATAAAAGAAATAATTAAAATTAACGTAAATCTTCAATGTCTGCCATTATTTTCGATATCAAGACTGAAAGACAAGTCTCTGCTGTGTAGAGAGAACAGTTTTAACTTCAGCCATCTATGAGTTACCTTTCTAATTGTCGCCACCATATCGTTTCTTGTAGTTGGCCTTGTTTGAAAGACTACGTCTTTTATCCTTTCCAACAAATAAAAGTCCAAGCAAGTTAGATCGAGTGACCTAACTGGGCACGAAAAAATACTTCTTCTTTCTATCCAATTGCCAGGATAACTCAGATTCAAATACTCTCGCTTACCCACTCTCGCACTCATCGTGGTGATAATTCACATGCATACGTTTAATGAGAGGATGCTACAGACTGTGATGAACTTTGACAGTTTTTTACGTGGTATTGTGTTTCTTTTGTTACAAAGCCAACTTGAATTAGCATCAATTTTGCAATTAAAATCTGTGAATGTTCGTATTTTCACCATATCAATTTACAGAGTGGTTTTTATTACTCCATGACACTGAACTTATTGTCAACGGAAAATATAAATTATTATTTATTAAAATAAAAACCCTAACGAAATTACATTAAAAGCTGTGCTTTGCCTGATTCCCCCTTGCAAGCTTGTCACACGGTGACGTCATGCGCGATTCTGTTTGAAATTCGTTCTGCTAGTGATCACATCTTACCAGTTGTAATATCATGATTAAAAAAGCATAAATCCATTGTACTAAGTCATTGTTGTTGTTTTAGTTATTTAACATGATGTTCACATATGAACTCGTTTGAAGTGAATAATGAACAGTTCAACAGTGCCGCCACCTAAAGTTTCTCGAAGGAAAAGAAAAACCGCTCTAGACGAAGATGAAAATGTTCCTAATGACAGTGGCGCTAGGAAAATTAGTACGAGAAGTCAATCAAAAAGTGACACCGAAAATAAAGATACAGATGATCCGTCAACAACACCAAATAGTACCTCTTCTTCAATAAGGGGAAGAAAAAATAAAAAACAACAGCAGGCACCTGTTGCTAACGAACCTCATTTAAATACAGGTCAAAATGCTCCAACATCCGATCTTCAATCTAGTATACCTTGCCGAAGTCCAATCAGGGGCAGAAAACGTAACCAATGTACTGCAATAAATGACATCAATGTTTCAGAATCAGAACATAAAAAACCTGTTCCCGGTTCCCCATGCAGTGTTACTTCCTCTAAAAGCGGTAGAAGAAACCAAATCGACTCGAGTCCATCTGAAAATAGACGTTCTGCCTCAGAATCTTCCTGCAGTTCTGTATCTTCTAGAAGAGGGAGGAGAACTAGAAAACAACAGGAACCCTGTACTGCTGTTTCAGACCACGATTTAAGAGCATTGGAAAATAGAAACTACGTATCTGAATCATCATGTGGCACTAAATTATCGAAAAGGGGGATTAGGAAAAAAGAAAAACCACTTAAAACTTACGCAGTCCTACCGGAAAATGAAACGTATGCTTCGGGGTCCTGTTGCGGTAAGTTTTTGTATGGTTTTATTTTCATGATTCATATGTCAAGGTGGAGGTAAATTATTAATTACTAACAAACAAATGTTTTTATGTGGACAAGATAATCTTTTTTCTCTGTATTTTTTTGGTAGCAGTCAATGACTTTCAAAAAAATCAGGGAGTACGACACTGTTATCTTTGATTACAGTTGCACATTGTGGTTTTGATTATTAACCACAACATGTTTTATCAGTTCAGATGTAAGTGTACTTATCTCAACTGGATAGTTTGTGTTATTTACATCGTTTAGTATTTCTGTTTTAGTAGACACCTGTAGGTCAATGGAATTAGGTGACGGTTAAAAAATGTTAACAATTACGTGTAGTTACTTATTCCTGTACAAATTGAATTGTTTAGTTGCGTACGGTTTTCATACACTAACTTTACATGTACATTCACACTTCTCTTTTATCACGCAGGTGCAATACTAATGAAATGCGGTCAGAAATTTCTGTATATTTGTCTTTGTTTATGTGTTAAAGTTTGTAAATATGTGGTCAAGCGTTGGAGGAATTTTGTTTGTTGTTTACCTTTAGTGAACACAGATCTAAATTTCGGGGAGCGTGGTATCCTACCTTTGAGTATTTGGTTCATGTTTATTAAGTTTGTAACGACTGAAAAACAACTACACCCAATGGCGGTCTGTAAGTATAAATTTTATTTCCTTCCATATTGATAAAATTGATGCCGAGATCTAAGGACTGGTTGACTAACCTAAATTTCATCTATTATTACACTCTGATTGTAATTACCAAAACAATGGGTAATGTTAATATAACCACTTTGTAACTTCCAGGGGGTTTGGTTCTTTGGGTTAAATAAAACAGACATATAGTTAAAACTTTACTCCCTTTCGCATTACACACACTAAATAAATAATCGTAAGTTCACAGTAATGAAAAATGTGCAGTTGGCAGACTGTTGGTTAATTAATAAAAAAATAAATGAGGTAATTCACGAACATTGGAATATGCACAAACTTACGGTTCTGTGTTTGGGAAATCTCCTTTTTGTAAATGTACAAAGTTACGGTTTTGGAAGTAGACAACTTCAGGTTGCGGGGATATTCTTGCCATTCCGTTGCTTTCTTTTCTGGTTGGTCAGGCCATAAAGGCAAAAGTGTCTTCTTCTGAGATCGCATCAGTGGGAAGTGCCAATAACAACGGTTTTTTTTCCTCGAGGTAACAGCTTGTCCCAAATACTTTATATTCACGCTTGTGCACGGTGCGGTCAAGGTAAAAGTGAAGCATTAGAGGAAGGAAGGAATTTTAAGGGCAGTCACACACTTTAAATGTTAGATTTTTGTTCATAAAATGCTCTTACTGTTAAAGTGTTGGAGTGAGTAGGCATGTAATTTTTAATTTTTTTTTCTACATATGTTTCTCTGTTTTTTCATGATAACCATACATAATTCATTATAAAAATCCAATACAACTGAATATCGAACGATCCTCGAGATCTTTACGCATCCATCATTTTTACCACCCACCTAAAGGGTTGATTCTGTCCCACCCGGCATCCGTAATTTTCGCATGTTTTAATATCCTATGTCCTATTCCCAGGGAAAGCTGATCCAACGAAACAAAAATCACTAAAATCGGTCTAGCCATTCTTCAGTTAAAAGATTACAAACACATTTCGGTCTTGCTGTTTTATATATATAGATAGCATATCATTTCCGTTGTATGTTATCATTTTATATCACATAATTACTGTGCAGTGTGCAACAATGCGAAATTTAATTTTGTAGATTTAGGTAATGTCGTTTGTCAAGAAACGACCGGTGCCCCTTCCCCTCAATATATTTTGAAATGTGGACTCTGTTCAGTCACGATATAATCATAATGGTTTGTGGCAAGGATACCTAGCTCCCATCTAGGAGACTTGGGCTCAATTCCTGGTATGGGAAATAATTTTTACCACAAAAATGCTATACCCAACCCAGCCACAGTTAGACATTAAGTTATTTGTAAGTTTAAGATTGTCTTCTTACATTTTTTTGAAATGTAAACTTACATAAAACGTACCATAATAAAAGAGTGCATACAGTGCGTTTATCTTATATTGGAACATACGATTTTGCATGCAATGGCGTTTCCCTATGTTCTATTAAAAAAAAACGCAACAACCTATAGGATATGTGCAGTTCACAACTATACACACGTATTGAATAATGTGCGAGTCACAACTGAACTAGCCTTTAATTATTTTTAGGTTATGTATGTTGGAAACGGAAAGTGTTGGTTCATTAGGATACTGGACTGCAAGTAAATCGCGGACTTGTCTTGCACTGTTGTGGCCTTTGTATAAATTTATAATTTCAATTTTCATCTTTTTAGACAGCATTTTTGAAACTTATCTGCAGAGCGGTACATTTCAAGGTGACAGTTTTACATTGCATCTACTACCCATTTGAACTACTCCTATTAGGTTGACGCGTTTTTTAAAAAATGGAACATAGGGAAATAACATTGCATGCAAAATCGTATGTTCCAGTTTAAGATAAACACACTGGATATGCGCATGCTCATTTCACTGTAGTAAGGGGTTGGCAGCTAGTGGCAAGAAAAATAGACGCGTAGTACTATTCGCTTCAGCGTTAGCGGCTAGCGCTAGACTGGCACGAAAAAGTATTCACACAATGGCAATAATGTGCCAGTACTGGCAGGACATGAGACTGGCGCTAGTACACTGGATATGTGTAAGTGCCTCTCTGTAGCCATTCATACATACATACATACAATACAGCGTGTAGTGTTGGGTTAACTATTCATATGTTAAATGTACTAATAGTAGGGGAGCTAGCACGAAATCCACTGAACGAGAATGATCAAAATTTTAACCGATGGAGTTCCATTTTGCCCTATCAGAGTATGCTAAAATCGATCGTCTGCCGCCTCAGGTCATACGACTTAAGGCGCTGCGGGTACTTCTTGTGCTACCAATTCTGAAAGATTGTTTTTCGAGAAAATAAGTTATACACCAAATGAAAACGTTGATAATAGCTCTTAAAAAAATATTTTAAAAAAATCGCGCGCATTTGATAACTCCGTAAAAAAACAATTCTTAGTCAGTTTTTTACGAACTTTCTACGGATATAACTAGGTTACCGTTGGAAGAATGAAGCTGATTTTTTCTACAGACTAATGATAGGTACAGCCAATGACTATGAGAGTGTTTCTTTTTTAAATTTTTTCTCTAATTATAAGATATCTTATAATGTTAAGATAATAAGATAATCTTGTAATTAGAGAAAAAATTTAAAAACGAAATACCGTTAAGTCATTAGTAGTACCTATCATTAGTCTGTAAAAAAAATCAGCTTCATTCTTCCAACGGTAACCTAGTTATATCCGTAGAAAGTTCGTGAAAAACCGACTAAGAATTGTTTTTTTACGGAGTTATCAAATGCGCGCGATTTTTTTAAATATTTTTTTAAGAGCTATTATCAACGTTTTCATTTGGTGTATAACTTATTTTCTCGAAAAACAACCTTTCAGAATTGGTACCACAAGAAGTACCCGCAGCGCCTTAAGTCGTATGACCTGAGGCGGCAGACGATCGATTTTAGCATACTCTGATAGGGCAAAATGGAACACCATCGGTTACAATTTTGATCATTCTCGTTCAGTGGATTTCGTGTTAGCTCCCCTACTATAATAGTTAGTGTGTATAATACAATACTATTTTATAGCAAAAGCCATATAAATCATTGTAAAGCTTCTGACAATATAAAAATAGCAAGCTTAAATTCTACCGTCACGGTCGTTTCCATTGAAACAGCATTGAATTCTGTGTTGTACTTCATTTTATTTCGTGCTCTGCGTCCCATTTGAAATAGGAATGACGGATATCTTTAGAATCAATCATCTGTTTCACCTTATCTACCATTACAGTTAAAGTAATCACTTTATCTACCCTTACGGTTAAAGAGCGACTTAACCTCCTCATTCAAAGATATTAAAATGTCAATTTAACATCTGCTAAAAAAGCACCAAATATATAGGTTATGTGACGCAATTTAAAATCCAAATACACAAATTCCGAATCACTGGAACTGCTTTTGTATCAATCGTGTACTATGGTTTTGGTTTGACTGAATTGTGCCACATTTCAAGGGTTATCGATTGTAATACTTCTTCCCATATGTTTATGCAATTTTCAATTGTATACCCATACCAATATGTGGATTGTAATAATTTTTGGCTAGGCTGCAAACACAATGTAAAATAAAAGGACCGTATTGCTCTGCTATTTGATGATTTCAGGAAGTACTTACTGTGAAACCACAATTTATTAATTTAATGTCGTCTTTTTCCTAAGAAGTGTCTAGTATGTTCAATAGCAACGTATTATTGTAAGGTGTGATATCTAACAGAATTACTGGCAGGATATTTAAATTCCTTAATAATTGTTCTTCAAACCAAATTCAAGTAGTGTTCAGTATTAACAATAATTTTAATGATTTTGTTTTCCAACAGTTGAGAAACCTCGAAAAGGAAGACCGAAAAGAGGAACTTATGGTAAGCCAGCAAGTGAAAACAAATTACCATATATTGATACCAATGTGGTACCTACAGTTAGAATTACACCAATTGACATTCTACTATGTTCTGGAGATAGTAGGAATGATAAACCAAAGGAAGGTTCAAGAAGGGAACAACCTTTTGGAGATGGTGGAATTCACAAAGCAAATGAAGTTTCAAGTACAAAACTAGCTTTTGAGTGCGATACAAATCGTAAAGAAACGGGAATTTCAAGTATAAAACCATGTTTTCAAGTTGATACAAATCATACTGAAAAGAAAGTTTCAAGTACGAAACTATCTGTTGAAGATGATACGATTCATACAGCAAATGAAGTTACATATACGCAACAACCTTGTGAGGACACTACGAATCTGAGACCAAATGAACTTCCATGTATTGATGATATTATACCTGAGAAATTAGGTGAAATGTGTTTATTATTTTTTAATTGTTCTCACTCACTTACTTTTTTAGTAGATGATACAGATACAAACAAGAGGCCACAACCATCTAAGTTAGTAACATACCAAAGTACAGTGAAGAAACGAAAATTCAGAGGGCTACTTTCTGATACCGTCATACAGAATTTAAAAAGGAAAAAAGTAAGAAGCATGCCTGGTGCATCTGTTATTCCAAGAAATAAGGCACTCAATTCGACAAAGCAAGTGGAGAAGTTACCCATGTTATCATCAACACATGATAGTTTCCAACATTCGCATTTAGACGATAGATCACCTATGTATATTAATAAGGGCTTGACGACTGAAGAACATAGAAATGTGACCGTAAAACCTTTCAATATTAAGATAAATATTGATAATTGTAAACAAGAAAGAATTGTTGAATTTGCTAAACCAATAGCTACATCGCCGTTAGTCGAGAATGGTTATGCACAAAATGCAACTCCCCAGTATCTCAGCGATTCAAGCAGTTTTACAAATACACCAATGCCTTATGCAGATTATTATTGTGTATCTAACGACTGGTTTTATAATGTTAACAAAGAACACTTGTCTAAGATTTCATCAGATAATGTCCTCTTTGATAATGCAAGATTAATTTCGGCAGCAGACTGTGATTCTGTGGAGAATTCGACACTTAATGATACAATGTCATCGCGTTCTTCGGTAGATTCTTCATATCAAAAATCTGAGTTTCAATTTCTGAAACCGTGCAAGCGACCGCCTAATAGGACTAGAACCAGTAAATCAACAAGATCTAATACACCCGAACCCTCAGTACCTTCTTTGGGCGGTAATACTCCTCCTCTTCCTCCTCCCCCTCTTCCTCCTCCCCCTCTTCCAGCTCCTCCTCCCGCAAAGGATGATGACGCTATATCAATTTATAGTGAAATGTAAGTATTTTGATTTACTTATTTAATTTGGTTGGTTGAACATTTATCAGTATAAGTGTAAATTTACTAAAATGTCTAAAGCACATTTTAGATGATCAAATTCGTGTAATTTACGTCATGTACTTCTACGCGCTTATCTTGAATTTTAATGTATGACTAAAACGTGTCATCTATTGTATTACACCTGAATTTGTATAGTTTATGTGCAGAAATTTGACCGTCTAAAATGGCCTTTAGGAAGTGCAACTGCTTAGTTCAGTTGAGATCACACGTTTTCAGCCAGAAATTAGGTATTTTGGCAATAATGCAAATTATACTCATGAGTCATATGAACTTAGCCCGCTCACTTGAAATAATGTCACCATTGATTTTTAGTACTGGAAGTTAATTATGGTAGCAACAATTTCATATTAGACATTCAAATGCTCTATGCATTGAATTTATAACTATCAGAAGCGCGGATCCCATATAACAGTTTGTGACCATGTGCCAACTGGCCGCCGCTAGGGGCAGTTCGATCGTTTGAAAGTCCGTGGGCGATCGAAAGTGGAGCGTTACATTGACATTAGATGGCAGCATTACAAACCATTTATTTTGACCATTCGAATAATTTCCTTTTTAATCGTTAGATGTCAGGAACTCGGGATGTTTTTTGTGTTATCATTGGAATGGTTTTATAAATAGGATTGGAATGTTCTAAAAATAGATCCCTTAAGAAGCATTGCGTAAATTTGTAATGTAAATAATAATACATTTACACGAACGGAAGCTTACAGTCCTTGTCCTTGAAGGAATGCAATTTCATACATTCTATTCACAGGCAGTACAATAGGCAGGTTCCACATTTTTACTGAAAGCGGGAGATTTTGTTATTAAAAAACGATCAAAAAAAATTTGAAGGCAAAATATTGTCCGTTGCAAGCATTTGAATTTTGAAAACCAATGGTCAGCGAGAAGAGAAAAAACGTACCAACACATTTGCCGCCGCGTTGGCAGAATACGAATTCACGTGAACTGGAACCGATGTGTTAATTTTATTTGCTGTGTGCACAATGCTGCCAGGGTATAAAAAAAGTTGACGAAATTTACCCAAATTTAAATGAACCTCAGAACAGTCCAGTAGTGGAATTGTTGGCAGTTGGCAGCTACATCATTTCCACATTCACATTTGATAACTAAATTTCGCGAATCAGCTTTTTTTATAACCATGCAGCATTGTGCACAAATAAATCGGTCCCAGTTTACGTGAATTCGTATACCTACTAGAGCTGAGCGATAAATGAAATTGTTATCGATTTATCGATAAGTCTGTTCAGTCTGATAATTATCGATTAATCATTAATTGATAACTATCGATAATTATCGATAACTTTAATCACTTATCGTTAACTTTCGATAATAATCGACAATTATCGATAAATCGTAACGCTAATTTTCGATAATGATCGATAACGTTTGATAATTATCGATAACTTTTTATAATTATCGATAACTTTTGAAAATAATTAATAATGATTGTTAGCTGCTGATAATAATCGATTATTATTGCCACGAAAATTGTCTATCCCTGATATTTATCGATTAATAGATACCTAAGTAGCGGAAATTATCAAGAGAAAACTATCAATACTTTTTCATAAATCTCATTGATATATATTCTCAATCGATATATTACATCATCCATGCGTACACTCGCTAACACTTTTGTTTTTTTGGTATTGGTATTGCGAGAGATAATTTAAATAAAACAGGATCTTTTGATGTTCAAGTTTTCTGAAATCAAAGGTGATCAAGTGGACGATAATCCTCAAAAATGAGTACAGCAGTAGGTTGTGAATTGTGATCATATGGCAACTCAAACTCAACAATGCTCTTACATCGCTTTTGTTGGAAGTAAACTGGTATACCTAAACATTGAAAAGTTTATGTCGTTAAAAATTCTCTCGATAATTATCTACCTTAATAGTTTAGTTGTGAGATTAATCGATAGATTATCGGTTATTATAGGTTTATCGACCAATCCTTTAACATTTTCGATAAATTACACCGGTCTACAGCATTTTTGCGCATGGGACATATATACCTTATTTTTATTGCTTCTATAGCCACAAATAAGAATTAGAACAAAAAATGGTTATGTATTTGTTTTTGTGTGAAAAAAATGCAAAAAACCAAAAAATAAAAATACCTATAGAATCCTACTTACATAGGCATGATTTATTAAATGGTAACGTTTCTACATTTATAATTTGTTTATCTTAGAGTCTAAATGTTTAAAAATGGAACAGTTTTGCTGTTTTTGTCATGTTCAACTGAATCTGATCTTCCATCATGCTTCCAACTTCCTGGCCTTGGGAAGGTGCCTAAGTTCCATTGTCTCGAGAAAGTGTTGTCCTTATTCCGAATAAGCTCCCATATTATCCTTAAATTGATCTAAATGAGAATGTAACCTGTGCATCTTTATTCTTTAGAGACATTCTATACCCCATGATACAAAACCAAATCCTGTCAGCTCGTCATAATTTTCAGCTCTATGGTTTCCCAGGAAACACTGAACGGGAAACCATGGACTATTGCCTTAAAACTGTTCCAGGATTTTTTTTCCTCTTTGCTAAGTAACCGCGGAAAAATATCACCCTCCATTTTTCTTTTTTTTTTAGGGAAAACAAAGATTCCAGCTTTAATTTTCGCCCCTGAAAGCTTTCAATCAAATCGCTGTAACTTTTGTAAAAGCAAATATTTTCGATGTCTTAATCGCACTTTTTATTTATTTTTGCTTATTATAGTCAGACCGGTCGACCATTTTTTTTAAATTTATCGATTGACTATCTATTAATCGATAATTATCAATAAGTTATCGATTAACCATTGAGAACAAATTTCAAACGTCAGAATTTAAAAGAAAAGAGGTTAATGACCTTTTTATTTTGTATCAAAATTGCCAGGTGTGACGTGTGATCCTAGATCAGGGGTCGGCAACCTGCGGCTCTTTTGATACCTATAAAGTTGCGGCTCTCCGTATTTATCTAAAGAAATTAGTTCATTTGTTCGAAATTCGCCTTTTTAATTAATCTGATTTTGTATCAAAAGTATACTTGCAGCAAATAATTATCTAATTTTTGACACTTGTTTACTTTCTGGTATTCTTTTGTTTTTTTTATTATAGCCAGCCTACTCCGATGTATAAACACGTAATTAATTAATGAGTAGGTACTTTTGTGAAAAATATTGAATAACCTAAACACTGCGGAGTTTAAGCACAGGGCACCCCTTATAAACATTTAAGAGAAGACAAAAGCGAATAGCGAAATAAAATAGTGGTAGTTCCATTTGAAAAAGAATAGTTATAGCACTTTGAACAAACGGCATTGAAACAACCAAATATTCAGGATGTTCTATTTAAAAAGATCAGTTATTAATTGACATCGTAAAAATGGAACACCCTGTACATTCAAAAATAATTTTTGTAGATCCGCAACCACCAATATTTTTACCAGGTATCTATCAGCTATGTAGGAAAACCGACGGACTGTTGCAGGACCCTGTATATAGCCAAAAACTATAATATTGAATCAAAAATTATTTGTGGCTCTTTAAGAACTGGGAAATTTTGTAAATTGTAATTTTTGGCTCTTCCGTTTCAATAGGTTGCCGACCCCTGTCCTATGTAGGTTAACCGGTGGCAACGGTTGAACCGACACACACAAAAATTAAGAATAGATAGGTAGGTACATTTAATTTCTGTTACAGTGATCAAGGATGCCTGCGTATTTTTTGCTTTCCTGTTCAAATGTAATTCAAACTTCCTTAAGAGTCTTCTGTACCCACTGCACCCAATGTAAATTTCCATAAGAGCGCCCGCCATAAAAACTCTATTTGTTTTTCCAAAAACAATTTTTTTTAAGAACTATTTTATAAATTTAGACCTTTATCTACAAAATGTTCGGACTATTTTTTTTTTAAAGTTTATAGCAACTGAATACAGATTGTTTAAAAATTAGATGTTTCGCACCGATTATTGCGCTAATCTGTTTTATTTTTTTACTCTCGATCAAGACGATTTATGGAAAAAGTAAACCGACAGTTTTTTAGATAAGTTACTTCTAAATGTGACCCCAAAAAATGAAATCATAATTTTTGTAAATAAAGTCTGTATCTTGGCGGGCGTTAAATCAACAATTTGAGCGTAACAAGTGGCGCCGCTGCACAGTCTCGGTGGGAACTAACTAAGGACCAAGACAGGAGTTGACAAAGCAAGAATATCATCTTATTTCTTGCAGCTATAATCATCTATACACTATAATGTAAAAAAGTTGCGCTTAGGTAAAGAAGACTCTTAAGGAATGTTAAGTAGGTCACGATTCATGAAAGGAAGAATGTTTATCTTACGTCATTCAACATCCTGTGTGCCACATAAATGCCTTATAAGTACGTTTCTTGGGTATCTAGAATTCTGTATACAACAATTACAAATCGAGATAGTGGGTTCATTACAGATTCCTGTATAATAATTAACAACGGTAAAAAACTGACATTATTATTCATCTTTCTCGATGGTAGAGACATCTACGTCTTGTAATTTAAACTATTGAAAACAGTCACATATCCTGCCATTTAACCCGCGCTTCTGATAGTTATAAATTCAATGCTCTATGGTGTCACACGTACCAAGTGGCCAAATAAGAATGGCACATGGCTCAGGGTTTGAGATATTGATTTGGCATTGAGGTATGAAGGATACTTCTTGACATAGAATTGATAGTTTTAACTTTCAAGATGGCGTCCGTGCGCCATTTTGAATTTTTGAAGGAGAGGGGTGATATCTCATTCTTTTTATCTGCAGCTCATATCTCGAGTTTCAAGTCTCCAAATGATGATCACTAAGGAGCGAAACATACGCTCCAAAACAGAATAAAATAATTTTTTGTAAAACTTCAAATAAAATACAATACAGAGTGTAAGTTGAGGAGGGCCAATATGGGTAACTTTTAAAGTATAAGAGATGTTTATTTTAAGCTCATTGGTATGCTTTTAATAGAAATAATTTTTTTGTTTGTTAACACCAGGCCATTATCAAAGCAAAAAAAACTACAAGAATATTACAATTATGAGATTTTCTGTATTAGAATATTACTTTCTTATTAAAAACGCAGTAGGGAAAAACCATGTCCATGTGGTTTACAAGTGGTCAAGAAACATTAAAATTTAATTATAGGCAAAAAGCCGGATTCAGCCAACCTATGGACGCTTAAGGCATGTCACATAGCCGCAGTAGTCTTGATCTAAAAGATTTATATTAGAAATAAGCATCTATCATTAATTAATTTAATTAATTTACTTTTGAGGAGCAAAAGTAAAACGATTGTTACATGTTGAGGACACGGTGGAGAATGACAACCGGAAATGTGCTTTATTGCAATGCCAGAACGCTATAGTTAGGAATATGGGTATCAAAAAGCCGCTTCTTAAATAGTGCCACCTGCACTCGAAAATATACATTTTGAAAAATACGTATCTTATGCAGAATTAGATGCCGATTATGAATCAAGAGGGCGCGATGGTCGCGGGGATTGCAAATAGCCAGAAAAAAATAATTTGTACAAAATTTCGCACTTCCCAAAAGTTAGAAGTTTTACCTTTACATCACATGTACGAAGTTATTTATGAATATTTTTCAAGAAATTGTGCACCATTCGAAAGCTCATTGTATTTGCCGTCTCACAGAACAAAAAGAAAGTGAATTTTGTCTTGAACAACCACTCTATAAACTGTTAAAGCTGTATATGCGCGAGAAGTGTAACAAAAATTTCAGTCGCGAGGTATTTTCATTATTGGTGGAGATAGAGGTATACATATCGAGACAAAATATGTACAATGAAACAAGGTAGTTTTTTTACTAAAACATTTTTTCAATCATACAAACCGTTTAAAAAATATAATAGGTTGAAGATTTTTGAAAATGTAATTAGCAATACTACCGATACTCATTTTTACAGCAAAACGTTCTCTTTTCTGTATATTGTTTTTTACCCATAAACTATTTTTCAAATGTGTGTTAGTTGATCATTTTATTAATATTCAAAAGGTGAAGTTATATTAACAGATCAATTGTTTTTGTAGGTCAATTCATTCACGAGATTTTAGAAGCAATATTCAACCACCAAGAAAAAACAAAGAACCAGAGAGTATATCTGCTGCGTGCTCAATCCCAAAACAAGTTATAAACGAACGAAGAATTGTTGACTTACAGTCGGACGGAATTGTACAGCATACACCTGAGGCTACATCTTACAAGAATGTAGCGCAGTGGGTGGAAAGTGCAAATATGTATAATAATCAAAACAAGCCCGCAAATTATGTGCCGCCAGTGTTTAGAGGTTTATGTTACCAGTCATACTTACGCGAACGTTGTGCTAGGAAGACATGTCATTTTATTCATGACTTTCCCGAAATAAACTTAGAGAGACTTAATCTATCACAACTTTGTGATGCATTCGAATATGCTAAAAGTAGATATAGATTATTCCTGGCTTACTTCCACAATTTCGTATGGGGATTTGCAAGACACAATTGCGCTATGGAGTTAGTGACTATGGTTGGTGCTGCAGTGATTCCTCAAAATGCAAGACAGTTATCAAGTGTGCAGGAAGTTATTCACGGATTACAACAAATTGGATACACATTTGAAAGTGCAATAAACCACGTATTAATGTTTTACAAAAGCACAAATTTTGATCTATTAAATATTTTACTAATTATCGTTTTCAAAAAAGAAAACAGTCTGTGTGATAATTGGTCATTAGTGCAGAAGTTATGCGAGTATCGCAGTTACGACCCTATTGACCCTGAATTAGTGAATCGAGCACTGCAGTTTTGTTACCAAGTGTATAGCGTTGAACTGTCCATTAAAATAGTGCAAGACATATTTAAGCGCAATTTGGTGAATCCGAAATCTATCGAAGAACATCATTATGGTAGAATTATTTCAATATTGCAAAGGCATAATGCCGAAGAGACCAATGTCCTTATACACATAGCCAAAGTCAATAACATAACAATAGAGTTGCAAAATAATGATGAGTGTTTTCTACCAAATTATAATACCATCTCTCCTAGAACTGTCGGCGATTTAGATAATTCCACAATCAATTTTCCTCAACCCCAAACTGTTTATGATACAAATTCAAATTGTAACAATGTTAATTTCAATCATACATCGCCAACTATAACACAAGTTAACAGTAATAACGTCAGTTTACCCCCAAATAGCTTTCTTGTACAAAGCGAACATGTTTATCAAACACACAGCAGTATTAATGGAGATCAGAATACTTATTCGTCAAACTCTGAAAGTGATCTGACAGAAGTGGTTAAAGAAAGGATAAATCCGCAAAATACGCGTCGCATTACTCCTAACCAAGACAGTAATATGGTGGGAACTCAATTACACGAGTTGGAATTAAATAGATTGAATAGCATTATATCTGCCAATGACCACAAAGCGTTCATTGAAATGTACGGCCGGTATAAAGATGCACCAAACAGTAACGCTTTCGTTTTAAATGTTATTGGTTTGTTTAAAAGAACGAAGTCCATATTAGTTGTTTTTAGTTTAATGGAAAGAGTACTTGAAGGATTAGGTATGTTTACATGGATTTTTTTGTTAAATTATTAATGACTTTTTTAGAGAGGTTAAATTCAGACTTTCCTTATCTTTTAAATGCTGAAGCGACTTTATATTCACTGGTAATAAATACAGTTGGGGCGCTGAAACATTTGAAAGGATTTACAGAGGCAGCGGCACTATTGTATAAATTTGTGGACTGTTTGGAAAATCTTACACAAGTACAAGTAAGTAATTTTTCAAGATTTGTAGCAAATTGGTCAAATTGTTTTGAAGTAACTATGATTAAGAGTTATTTGAACACTCATTTGTTGAGTGCAAAGAATAACGATTTAATGTTTTTCAATCCAAAGGTGAGCCGTATAAAATGAATCACATCAAATTTTAGTATGTTGTCAATTGAACCTTTCCTAACACACATTCAGGATTTTGTTTCCATAATTCCATTTTTGTTGTTGCTAGAGCAGATTTTTTTTAAACAACATAATTCTGTTACTTTTTTGTAATACAATTTTTAACTAAACAGTTTTTACCATTATGCCTTGACCGAACCGGGCTTGCGCTTTATGGCGAAGTTGATCAGGATTCACTACCACACGCAGTGGTAAAAATCATTAAATACTTCATTGGACTTTCTACTTTTTTCTATTGAAGAGAATTAGCTCCGTTTTTGTCGGGTTGATGGACAAGGATTGTTCTATACACCATTCTTCGGTTATTCTAGGAGGTGATTGCATCAGTCTGCATAGAGTAGCGTCAAATTTACCGATTATTAGATCAGATATATATCGTCCACATACCCCAGCATAAAGTAGCCACATGCCTCTCTTTGACGCCTTCTAATATCCTTCTTATATCCTTATAGGCCTCTCAATTGGCTGTAGCTTTGCTCTTCTTTGCCTTATTGAACAGTTTGCTCAATTGCGTTTTAATAATAATAATGGCCTTTATTCACATTCCGTTCAAAAAAACACAACTAAAATAATATACGTGTGTAAAGCGATGGGGTATACAAGAGGGAATTTTTTTTAAAATATTGATTTATGAAAAAAAGTTATTCTTCATGATATTTTTTGCTTGCTTTGAAAGTACCAAAAACGTTTCGATTATTTGTGGATTGATAGCAATACGCTATCTTGATTATAATGTAGAATAACTTTCAATTAAAAAAATTAAAGCTAAGCAATAATTATTGCATCTCATTTTAAAAAAAGTTAAGGAATAATAATATTGTATATGACATATACCTTGTATTTCATAGATTGTGATTGTCAATAATGTTGTTTTTTTTTAAATTATAGTGGTTCGGAAGTGTCCATTCTCCCCACTCTTATTCGATAATTGGGAAATACCTGTATTTTTGCAAAATTTTTATTAGAGGAAAGTTTTATAACCCAGCCTTACAAATGTTCAAGTGTCCAGGTAAAAGTTATGATCTATTTTTTCTTATAATCATCCTTTTTTTTTAAATAGAGCTAAAGCTACTTCAATCATCCAGTAAGTGGGATTTGCCATATACAAACAATTTTGATGAAGGATTTCGCGACGTGATTTTACAGGAATTTTTATCAGCTACACTTCAAAATGATATCGATGTTGCGAAAGATCTCATATTGTATATAATGCAGAGTGGAGACAATATCATCACAGAAATTGGTTAAGTATTTCAGTGTTTAGTTTTTGTTTTGTTTGTTTATTAATTGTATTGCATTTTGCAGATATTTCGAAGTATTTTGATAAATTAATACTCTCCATGCTGAACAATCAGAAAGTGAGTTCTCTAATCGAAATATTACCAAATATTTTACAGGGATGGTATAAACACTTAAAGCATTCGCACATGAGAGCCCTGTTGATTATTCTTGTAGAGAAATGCATTCCAGAAAAAGACTTGCTTGCCCTTTATAAGAAGTGTTGCCTGCAAGGAATTTATCCAAACTTGAAGGTAATTATTACAGATAAAAAAAGGAAAAAAGTTTGTAGGAAATTGCTACATACCTAAAGCAGTCGTAAATCTTTCTGACTTTAATTGATTATATGCCTTCATCAACTTGTTCAAAATAATTTGGGGTACTAGTTACCCGGACAAGGTGGATGTACCCAAGGACCTTTTTGTCAGTGACATACATGTGAGTGCTTAACTCTACATGTGATGTTTGTGGCTGACGGTTTTCTTAATTATATTTAAATTATGACAATGCCTAGATGTACTGTTAGTACCTGTAATATACTAACTTATCAAACACGTATTACATCAGGTGTTGCAAGTTGTAATTCACACTGCATACTCTTTTCTAAACGTACACTCTCCTGAGAGATCTGACAATGCTGCCAGTCCTAGGGACTACTGCAATGTTCCTTCAGAGTGTGCTGTAACAGTAACAAATCAGTCAGGTCTCTTGTAACCTATTGAGTGCTCAATCAAGTCTCTGTATTCCACAATTCTCTTCTGGTTCTCTTGTGATGTTGGACGGATAGACTTCTTCTGAACCTTTTTTCATTTTGTTGGGTTTCTCTTTCTAGGTGTGAACAGGAGAAACTAGATCCTAATCCCTTGCAGTTTTTTGGGCGTACACTATGTCGGAATTTAACCAAACGTGTCAAATTTAATTTTACAAATTTCCGCCAGATCTGAGTGGTTAGGTAACAAACAGCGACGATCTTGGATTTTGAAAAACCCTTTTAACTTCCAGGTTTCTGCAAGTCTGTGACCCATATTTAAGTGTGGTGTGATTGATTTTGCGCGTTCAAGAGTATATTTCTTCTATTTTTAATGAAAGAAACAAGTGTTAAGAAGCAAAAATACTTTCAATTTTTTATAAAGCTACATATTTTAAAAAAAACAAGTGATATAAATACAAAAGTGCATTAGAAATCAGTTCAATTTCTTTTTTCTGTAATATTCTTAGAGCTTGAAACTCTCTTTACAAATACATATATTAAATAAGTTATAACATAGTGTAAAGAATAGAATAGTGAAACAACCTTACGAAGGAAAAGGGAAACTGATTTGGACATCGAGAATTTTTAGTTCTGGACGCGACAATCGGAAGGGAGGGCGTTGCTGTCAGGGATTTTAAAAGTGAGTCATGCTACAAACCTTCCACATTACATTGCCACCTTACACTACACGAGTTAAGGTGACGCTTTTTTCAACGATCTATTTATTATAATTTTTCATTTCATTTTGTTACATATGAAAGAGAAAGATGTAGTTAAAAAGATCGCGAAATAATGCTCCTTTGTTCTTTTATTTTAACTGCACTTCAGTTTAAATCATATTCTGCAAATAAAGATTAAAAGTAAGGTGAAGGTTACGTTACGCATTACTATTACTGTTCCTGTTTATCTGGCTTTATTTGACATTTTGCTTCGAGAATTTAAAAGTACAACAATAAATTAGCAATGAAAATTCCATTTAAAATTAAAAGCGCTAAAAGTAAAAGATGTAGAGCACGTGTTGTTCGAGGTATTTTCACTACAATACCCTATTTTGGGATTTTTTAAATTCAGTGCTGCTGTATGCTATAATCCCTCGGTGCAGGAATAGGATAGTATCAAATTTTAGTATTCATTTGGGGTTGTGTTGGTTGATATGATGAAACATGTGCAAAGGCACAAAGTGAAAAATTCGTTAAGCCGCTAAGCAAGAGGCGAAGAGTGCACTTTCAAATTTGTTTTTTCGATTTTAATAGCCCTTATGGACATTCATGCCAACGAGTAAACAAACAAGAAATAATTTTTAATTTCTGATCGAAATGCACCAATACCAAGTATGTAAGTGGTGTAGTTCCGGAGCCCTTTGTGACTCAGACAGACATAAGGAGCGCAAAAGTCCACTTTTTATTTTTTTTAAGGTGAAATTACGATCATTTCAGTCGATTCAGGCGTAGTGCAAAAAATCCACTTTTACACTATTATAGGATACTTGTAATAGACGTAATAGCAAAAACGTGCCGTAGCGAGGGAGACAAAGCATGCGTTTGCACGTAATTTTATTAAGGGCGTAAAATTTTCAGAATAACTGGAATTGTATAACCATTTACAAAAAAAATTAGAATTTACTGTTGCAAAAATCGGATTTTTTTATGGGCATTTGTTTCGAAATAGTGCATAACTGTCGGCCGTACCAAAGAATACTTAATTAGGTAGGTCCGTAAGATAGTCAGTACGTTTTGAGAACTGGTGGGCGCTTTTACTAAAGCTAACCCGCTTAATAATAACAATATTTAGGTGCCTTCATACACTTTTTCATTATTGTATCCATTTCTCAGAAGTGAGGACTGTTTGTGGCACTATACTTTTTAAAACGCCTTTCTGCGTGTACTATTTGCGTTTCCTAACGTAAAAGGATCCGTCCAGCGAGAAGATTCTATGCATTCAAAAAACATACTGGTATTTAAATATCTATTTCTTTCTGGGACTAGTCGATATTGAATTCAATATAAAAAACTGGGAGTGCATATAAATGCATTTGATCAAAGATTGTATAAATGCGTTTAGAAAATGTACGTCACGTAACGTTAAATCTTTAAAGAAAATTTGTCATTGTTCAACCATCGTTATAAGTGCCATAATTTAACAATTGACACCAATACACAAATCAATAAAAAACTTCGGAAATTATGCGTGGGTTATGGTTATGGGTATATGAACAACGGGGTTAAAATAGTATTTACATTTGCAAAGCTGTTTCTAGTCCGCGTCCTGTGACTCACAATTACATTGTATTTTAGGTATCGGATGTTTTACTATTTTAAGCTTACACCCTCATTAGAAGATAGGGAGGGTAAAATAGACAAAAGAATCATAAATTATAAAATTCTTTCGGTACTTTTACCAATATTATATACAGCCTCAGTTTCAATAGTCTCAGCACAGTTGAAAGTTGTTGATCGGATGTAGGTACTGATGGAATAGTGTAAACTGTAAATAATAGAATATGGTACCTACCTACATAAGCAAGTTTTACTTTTGTTGTTAAATAGTGGACATTTTAATTTTACTTTCTCTGTGAAATGGCAGGGAATAAATGTCAATATTTATATTGTGAAAATAATCGAAGAAAAAATCCAAATATAGCAATGTTCAAATTTCCGAAGGATCGAAGTTTAGCTTTAGAATGGATATATACAGCGATAAGTTTTTTGCGATAAATAAGTGTACCGAAGTAAATAAATCAATTTGTACTTACCTTACGCCGAGTTATAAAGTTCACACTCGACTCATATTCTTATAGTCTGCACATATTTTAGAAAATTTACCATTTTAAGCATAGAATGCCAATATCATATTTGACAAGATGCTCAGTTCTGAAATTCTAGAATTGTGAAATACTTTATTTGGCCTAAAGGGTTAATGCGACATCCTTACATTGAATCGTAGGCAGGTACGTAATAATATCTCATTTAGTCATCATAGGTCTATTCAGAAATAATTACATTGTGATTCAAAATAAGATAAATTGTTTATAGCAGTATTTGCAAATTTCCAGTATTAAGATTTTCCGATAAAGTCTCGGATAAAGTAAATCGATTCAAATTTTCCAATACATAATTCAGCACTTTAGTACTGTCAATACGTATTCCTATATGAAAAATCGATTGTGTCCATCTCTGAAAAAGGTACAGGTTCACAAAAATAAACAAAACGACGTAATCTTCATCAAGTATAATTGTTGAAAATATGAACAATTACCTCGAGCACATGTTTCGACCAAAATACAGCAGGCCATTTTCAAAGCTGTCCAATAGTTAATATTTGCTATATTGTTGAGTCAGTGGTGTCATGGCAAATTTGGCAGTGCCAGTATTTATTATACGAATAGTGTTATTCTTACTCTATGCCTGAGCGTACGCGCTTGCTTTGACATGAGCTAACCATTTGTCTGTTTAATGTCGACGAACTGTAGCCCTTAGTTAACTGTTTCCGAAAACGGAATTCAAAATTCGCCTTTGTTTCCGAATTATGGCGCGGTAAAAAGGACGGACACAAACGTAATTCGAGATTATGGAATTCAGAACGTTAGGTATGAGTTGTTCCGTATAGAGCTTTAAATTTTTTTTATAAGAAGGTTTATTATCTGACATTAAAACACAATGATTATGAAATTTTTGAGTTTTCGTACCATTTTTATACGAATAATATTTCAACACAGTTTTGAAGCAAATTTTGGAATTCTGATTCGAGTTTCGGGTCGATATGCATAAGTTTTGCTCTAAAATGTATATGTATTAAGTAAACTATAAATCATAATAAATATTGAAAGCGACTATCAACACGGAAGGAGTTCAAAAGTCTGCCAACAAAAATAATCAAGTGTGTATACAGAATTTATTGTAATCTTATACAGCATGACATCATCGCATACCCGCGCTCATGAACAATAGCTTGATTGTGCTGTGTACCTTGCTATAAAAGAGCGGTAATTTAATTGTATCATTCATGTTGCAGATTTCTGTACAGTACTAGCGTTGAGTAGCGTAATCATTTCGAGTAAAAGCATCTGTATTTTTTTACCGACAATCTTTAGTGGATGGTAATATCACAGATAAAATACCCAACAGATTGCCAACCAAATGCAGTGTTACTAAATACAACCATAATGCAAATGCGAACTACGGGTTGCCTATAGGTCCCCAATTTCCAGTGAAAAATATAATTTTTTATTAAAGATTTTTATGAAACATGATATCGCTTTTTGCCACAAGAGGACTCACACTCAAATTTCAGTATCGGTATCTGTAGTCAACACTACACAAAATATGGTATGTAAACGTACTAAATTCCAATGATTCATGAACAGGGCTCTCTGATTGGCGAAACGAAACACCGCCTCGTTTGTTTTTTTGTTTACAAGGCATACTCAAAGTTAATTTTTTAAGGTCTTCAAAATAATTTATCATTAAAAATATATTAAATTGCATGGTCCATAAATGCTGCATAATCCTCCCAAAAAATTTAAAAAAACGCAACAAACAATAATTACATATTCCAACTATAAAAGATTTTCTTTATTAAAATAACGTAAATAATGTCGACCAGTGGATTTATCTTCCGTCTAACGCAATTGCCGAATCATGTTTCAACTGGGCAATATTGCCGTAATCTGCGAGCTCCATCCAACAACCGCGCCGCACTCCGCGAACACCTGTGCTATCAACACCAATAAACCGACGAAAATGTTTAAAAATCTGAAAAGTTTTGTTATTAAATCGGTGGCGTATTTAACAGAAAATTACTTACGACTCCAAAAGTGCATAATTGCCAAACAAGGAGACAAACTAAATAAATAAATTGGTAAACCGACGAAAATGTTTAAAAATCTGAAAAGTTTTGTTATTAAATCGGTGGCGTATTTAACAGAAAATTACTTACGACTCTAAAAGTGCATAATTGCCAAACAAGGTGACAAACTAAATAAATAAATTGGTAAACCGACGAAAATGTTTAAAAATCTGAAAAGTTTTGTTATTAAATCGGTGGCGTATTTAACAGAAAATTACTTACGACTCCAAAAGTGCATAATTGCCAAACAAGGTGACAAACTAAATAAATAAATTGGTAAACCGACGAAAATGTTTAAAAATCTGAAAAGTTTTGTTATTAAATCGGTGGCGTATTTAACAGAAAATTACTTACGACTCCAAAAGTGCATAATTGTCAAACAAGGTGACAAACTAAATAAATAAATTGGTAAACCGACGAAAATGTTTAAAAATCTCAAAAGTTTTGTTATTAAATCGGTAGCGTATCAGAAAATTACTTACGACTCCAAAAGTACATAATTGCCAAACAAGGTGACAAACTAAATAAATAAATTGGTAAACCGACGAAAATGTTTAAAAATCTGAAAAGTTTTGTTATTAAATCGGTGGCGTATTTAACAGAAAATTACTTACGACTCCAAAAGTGCATAATTGCCAAACAAGGTGACAAACTAAATAAATAAATTGGTAAACCGACGAAAATGTTTAAAAATCTGAAAGGTTTTGATTAAATAAAGGCTTGGAAGTGAAGTTACTTACGGCGTGTGCAAGGGTGCTGCAACTGTTATATAACTATTTATGCTGCATAATTTTCAATTTCGATTTGGCGGAAAATGTTGGCATTAATGACCATTTGCACTCCTTGTGAATTTTTGCGGTGAGAAGTAACTCAATGAAAAATGTTTTGTGTTCTTCATTACCACAAAAATTTTCTGAATTAAATAAGTGTCGACACTTCAAAGATAATTTTTTTCGAATGTCTCTTTCCCAGAACACATTTTTAAATTCATTGTGGAATATGGTCAAGCAGTCATTCACTAATTTATAAATATGTAGTGAAGGGGAGAAAAGTCCTTTTGAAGTGTCTTGCTTCTTATACATTTTGTTTGAAATATATAACTGAAGCTTGTCTTGATCTGCACTTTGGAGTGAAAATTTTTCAGAACACGTTTCACAATCAAACTTTTTAGCGGTTTTGCTACAAACATAACCAGCAAAGTAGTTTATTGCACAATCTTCAATAGTGACGGGTTGCGATATCTGAATTTCGGTGTCGGTGTTCTTTTCACTGTCAAGTTCTGAACATTCTTCACTACAAATGTTATCATTATCACTAATGGACACGCTTTCGGAGTCATGTTCGTGGGCATTCAAACTCAAAGTAGTTTGGTCAGGAGCGGTGCTTAAGTACTCATCTTCATCAATTTCACAGTTCGCGTATTCGGATGGAGTTATACAATTAATGACCGATGATCTAAATACTGTTCTAAAAACTCTACATGTTGGATTTCTATTGAAGCCACCCCTTTTGCGAACGACAGAAAAATAATTTTCGAGTACGTCCTGGCACAACCGATTCGTTAATATGTAATTAAATGTACTTTTTTTACATTCGTCATGAAGGAGTACAACGCCGTTGATAGTTTGTATTAAACCGGAAAAGCATGGTGGTCTAGTAATTTTCCCTTTAGAATTGATTTTTGACAAGTTTTTTACAAACTGTTTACAAGTGGTTAGGGTTTCTAGAACTTCCACATTTTCGTCACTAATTGCACGTCTATATGTATGGATTTTTATCGTATTTAATTTTACTATTTAAGTTATCAAACGTATTGTTCATTAACGAAATAAAGTTAGCTGTATCTATAGCAGATTCACTTTTTAGCTGGCCTGTTTCAGTACACGTTTTTATTGCAGCAGATACAGTATGGCTAAACACCTGCAACGCTAATTTGCACGACTGTTTTTGAAAAGAATTAGGTGATATGTGTGCATCCGTTAATTTCACCATTGCTCTTGCCTTACCCATTTTATCTAACTCATATGTTCTTGCAATATCGTTGTACTTAATGAGACGTTTTTTGCCATGCACATCTACTTGATAATCTCCATCTAACAAATTGTTACGAAAATTTTTGAATAAATGTGGCGCATCGTATATGAAAATTATTTTCTGTTCGTACGTGTCGATGTATGGTTTATCTTCTGTAACACCTAGAAGCTTTAAAGCCGCCACGTTGGTGGTCGCCTGGTCACAAACAGCAGCTCTAACAACTAAACCGCACTTTTGGAGTTCCTCGATTGTGTATTTAATTAAAACATGCAGCTGTTCCTTTTTTATGCCACTACCCGATAAATAATATGCAAAAGGCAATTTCCATTTGCTGAAGAGACCCCTTGTCATAAACACTAGAGCTTTCTTGGCTACAACCTTAGTTCTGCCCAAATGCCCAACATCCTCGAATCCTTCAATGAAATCATAAGGTTTCGAATATTCCAGCTTTGCCATCAAATCCACTTCATCAAATGCTAGAACACATTGCTTTTCTATACGTTCCATGCTCTCGGTTTTTAATTTAAGTTGTTGTGCAAACTTTTTATCGGTGCCTGGAAAGAATCTGGACTCTCCGATCCATCCTCTGATTGTTGATAGTGCAGGAAGTACGAAACCATTGCGTTTAAATAGTTTATAAGATGCCGGCGAACTGTAGTAAAAAGCCAATGCAAATTTTTTTTCTGTTCGAGTCCAGGGCATTCTTTTCTTGTGTAAAAATTGCATGGAGAACATAGCTTTTACAGAATCGGACTTATGCATAATAGAACTGAACATGTTGGTCGTGGCTAATTGTTGTTTTTATTTTAAAACCGTCCTCTTCTGTTTTGAATTTTGTATTTGCGCCCGTCGCAGGTGAGATGTTTTCTGACTTAGCTTGAGCGATAACTTTTTAAAGCGTCTTGATTCATTTAAACACAGTCTCTTTGTCCTTGGTGCATCCGGCAAGTCGCATACGTCTTCTAAATACCGCTTGATAGACGAGGAGGACGATGATTAGGATATTTCGTCATCAGTAATAAGAAGTTCTGGTCTGCTTGCTTGCTTTTTGGTAGTTACGGAATCTTCGTTGAATTTTATCGGCATTGCATTTGGATGGAGCCTTGTCCGGTGAGCAGTGGTGTTTGAAATATCCGAAGCTTTGAAATGCTTCTTACAAAGAAACTTATTCCTTAGCTCGTCACCTTGTAGAGGAGCTAGAGCACTGTTTCCACTATTCAAAATCCATTTTCGGCAGAGGGAGTCATTTTTTGGAAAATGGAAAAGCACAATGTTGTCCTTCCACGTAGAGGAACAGTCTAAATACGAGCACTTAGCACCTCTTCTAGCCGGCATTTTTGTGGTAACCTACATAGTAAATAAGGATTACTTCTTTATATAGGAACTATTTATAAATAATTAAGTGAGCGTGCGGGAATGCGAAGCCGCATAGTGTTCATTTATCGAGAATTTAACAAATTCCCGCAGTAGTTTAGAAACCGACATCAGTAGGAACTTGCACTTGAATTTTGTAACTATGTAGGGACACATTTAGTTACCCCCGACTGTGGTAATAGCCAAGAATGGGTGAATTTGAAACTTGAAATCCCTCAAAAAACTACGATCCCGATTCGTAAAAAAAATTCGAATCATGTGTTACGTGCAACCTGCAACTCTAATTTAAAATTTCAGTAATGTGCTGGAAGGTCGAATGATCTGACTTTGTTCCCCTAAATCGAAAGAAAAACGCGATACGCTTGGTTCCGTTTCTTCTTTCGAATTGTAAAAATAAATATGAATGTTAATTAATCAAATTTATATTATTGTATTATATTATTGTGATACTATACTTTTATTTGTATCTACACATGAAAGAAAAAACAATTCATATCATCCCAATAGATTCGCGGCATTTGTGGTATTTTCATTAAGTTTAAGATAATGTTTTTGCAAAACCGACTACTATCTCACGTATAAAAGAAATTCACAAGAAAAGCGGGACAAACTTTTTGATCGTAAGTATTCATTTTCGACGGTTTTCGAAAAGGCAATAAATGCAAGCCCAACAAAATTATTTACTTCTGTCACAGATAAAAATCTGTGCTTCTGATGTGGTTTATCTATTTATTGCATATCTTTGCACGGTTATCAAGAAAATTTGCGATCCGATTACACAGATTAAATGTGTGCACGTGCTCGCCTCCATACGCTCCCTTAAGATGAACTATAAATGGCCGATTGCGCCAGCCGTCAAATTGACACAAATTTTAAATTTAAGACTTAAATACAGGTTAAAATCTATAGCAACCATCTTTGATAATGGCACAGCTTACAATTATTAATAATGGTCGCCACACAATTTAAACTGAAATCTAAATCTTTACATAAATTTGATAGTTTAGTTAAGTACTTACCTCAAAATTATAATAGCTTTGACACTACAACAAATTAATAATGTAAGTACCTATACGTCAATGCAAAATAATAAGAACAAGTCACTTTAACATAAATCACACACAATGCAATCACAAACGCAAACACCTATAAATTATAGTTTTATAGACTAAAAGACACGGTTTCGCGGGGCGAGTTTTTTTAAAGTGACATCTACAGAAAAACGCTTGTAACTCCTTCTTTTCATGACCACCATAAAGATTCGTAAAATGGATGTTCATACTAATACTCAGTAGATGGCGCGTTTAAGTATACCAGGATCTTTAACTTAAGTATATTTTAAGTATATTTATGTTACCCATAAAATGTATTGTGGTTAGCAATCTGTTGGGTATTTTATCTGTGGTAATATTGACACGCACGCGACATCTATAACTCTTAAATATTCGGTTTCCAAAACGTACATGGAGGTTGTCTCACTATTCTATTCCTTTACACTAAGGTTATAATTATCTAAGAAATTTAAAGTACAGAAATTACAGAAGTGGCAGACATGACAAGTGAAAAACTTTCTTTTGTTCTTGTTTAAAATTTCTAGTTACTGCGATTGGTTTTAAAAACATTACTGTTCATTATACAGAGCATTTGAAGTTGTATTTTTCAAATTATTCTTTTTGGACCATTTACTTTTAAAATGATTGATTTGTGTACAACGAAAACACTGTACTTATTGTTTCTCTTACTAGCACTGCTATTTTTACGATTGGATTTTCAACTGCTACTTAGTAATGCATCACTACCACCTTCCTTGAAACTAAATCCATATCGAGTAATTTTGTTTACATAACATACAATAATACCCCAGAAACCTACGGCATGCCTAAAAACTTGTCACTCCCAAGTTATCCTCTAATAGTACCAGGAACGGGGTATTTTTCAGTGTGTTGATCCGAAACAACTCATTCTATGAAAGAGTGAAGATACAAAAATATTAATTGTCCACAATTTAAATATTGGTACTACTTCGCCATAGTCACTAGTTTTATGGAATATTACGACCTTTGTTACCCACATCCACGACCAATGTGTCAGGAAGTGCCTTTTTTTAGAAGCGCCCTATCTGAATGCTTGAGTCTAGAGTCCTGATAATGTTTTACTTAATGCAATAGCGTTGCGGGAAGTAGTAGATTCAACTGTTTTTGCATATTGGTTTAATTGATCTTGTTCTACCCAGTCCTATATTAAGAAAACGCAAAAAAGAGATTGTTATATTCTTTTCATTTTCAGGGCAATGAAACCAGAATTATCTTAAAAACGGATCTGAAAACTGCAGAAATCTTTATCATTATACGGTACTTCCTTTACAAGTTGCAAAAAAATAATTTCCAAACACAAGAAGTTCGATTCACTGTCAGAATGTCGGATCAACTCAACAAACAGCCAAATATATTAATAAACTCTCAATGTGGATTGTCGGAAACAGTAAAAAGGACTTTGATAGTGTTATCAAAATGTTTCCCTTCTGTACTTATCGCGCAGTGTTGCGGAAATGATATTACAGTTGAAGCGGATAATGTAAAATTATGTGTGGAATCTTTTCGGAAATTCTCTTCAAGGTGAGTAAAAACCTACTATAGTTAGTTCAAATAAACTTTTACTGTATTATTTTTATAAACTATCCAAATAATATAATGCAGGAAATATGAAAACATTAATCTACATTGTTCAGATTTTGCATTAACACTGACGCTTTTTGTTTGTTTCATAATCTGTGTTTATAATGGGCAGAGTATTTGCGTCATCCATACTTTATCTTATTAATACAGTGTAAATATAGTTCTAAGTAATCTTGGGCGCCAGTGTGATACTTTTACTTAATATTATTATTATGCCTTCTTCATTATTAATACAGACCGGTTTTTTAGTTTTTCAATCATATCTTTTTATAGGTTCACTTGACAAAATTTTTTTAACAAAATTTTATGCGTTATCTCTAATCATAAGAGTCAGATACCTCGAATATAAGGTTATGGTGCTACTAATTTCCGTACCCTGCACCCCTATCAAAGGGGATGATAACAATTCAACCCCTTGGTGATAGTTGGTATTTGAATCACTGTGTGATTATGGCGCTTTCGAATACAATTACCAAATAAGAAAAGTTGTCTTACTTTATGTTAACCCTTTTTATCCCCTATAAAAAGGGTTGATTATTTCAACCCCCTATAGTGGTGATTGTTCAACTATCTAAGATGATATCACTTTCCAACATAATGTACAAAGCATTATTTTATATGAACATGAATAGTAAATATTTTTATGTTTTACAAATAGTTTTCTTCTTCGTCAAAATTTGTTTACAAAATAATTCATTATGTTTGATCGGGTATGCGTGGTTCGTTTTTGATAATGTGATTGAAACCATCCAAACGTCAAACGTAATTTTAAATAATTCAATTCATGAGGAATGAGGAAGAAGTTCCAGAAACTATACTAAATAAGGTCAATCTTGTGATTTAGTAGGTATTGATAATTAATAATTGACGTTTCTAATTTTCAATGACTTGCAAATATTTGTTTGTTTTGTCATTAAGAATAAATGAGTTACTATGGTGATACTTAATGCCCTAGGGCATAAAGTGGTACTTTATGCCCGCGTATCACAGATATAAAATGTGCGATGATAGGTTAGTAAGACATAAAATTGTGTATGTATCACGGGCATAAACTGAGGTTTATACTCGGGAGACTAAAAAGCTCTCGGGCCATAGGCCCTCGAGCTTTTTATCTCGTCGCCCTCGAGAATATAAACATCACTATTATGCCCTTAATACATAAATAACTATTAGCGCGTTTTTAAAACAGGGTAGCGCTGATATATTCACTTTGGCTGTTCGGACGGTCGAGTGTAAAGGTTTTTTTAAGTATAACTCTTGAAGGGATCATCGTAGAATGCTCGGATTTGAAGCATTAGCTTTGTGCCACAATTGTTTGCATGGAGATTATATTTCAATACAAAAAGTTTCCTTCATAATAATAATAATAATAATAATTTATTGCCCTACAGATTACAAAATCCAATTACAGGACAATTTAATCAAAATTAAAGTGGTGTACAAAATTGTTAGAAGTAACTGACATAAAATATCAAAGATACACGTAAGAAAAAAACAAGAAAAATTATACAATAATAATAATACTAATGGAAATTACTAAATAACATTCTAAGCAAAATCAAATACCAATTTCTGCTAGGAGGTCGCATAGAGGACTATGATGAATATCAATATGTTTCGATAAACTATTAAAAATTCTAATGGTATGGTATAAAGGCGATTTAATTAACATATTAGTATGGGGAGTAGATTGATAAAAAGTTACAATATTTCTCGAAGAACGAGATGGTACATGAAAGTTTATAAGTGAAAGTAAATAAGGACAATCAATTAAATTATGTAATAAATTGTACAAAAAAGAGATACAAATTTCACAACGTCTGCGTTCTAGGGATTTAAGGAAAAAAACGTGAAAGCAAACGTTGTTGGCTATAACCTCGTGGGGGATACTGATGATCAATTCTATAAACTAAAGATTTTAAGAATTTGCGTTGTACATATTCAAGCTTATCTTTCTGGTATTTTACAATGGGATTCCACATTATAGCACAATATTCCAGTCTCGAGCGAACTAAAGAATAGTATAAGGTCTTCAACGTTGTAATATTGGTGAAAGATTTACAATTTCTTAAAATAAAACCAAGGGTCGAGATGGCTTGTTTAGCGGTATTATCAATGTGTTTTGAAAATGTAAGACCAGCATCGAAGGTTACACCTAAATCCTTAATACTATTTGTTTTAACCAGTGTAGCAGTATTAATGTTGTATTCAAAGTCAATGGGCGTGACCCTACGGGAGTAGGTGACTACTGTACATTTATTGATGTTTAATGGTAACCTATTTAAATCACACCACTCACTAAGAATGTCCAGTTGACGTTGAAGGTGCACACAGTCGTGTATAGTTGCAATAGTAGAAAAGATTTTAAAATCGTCAGCAAACAGTAAACTACCACAATTAGTAATTTTTTCCGGCAAATCATTAATAAAAATTAAAAATAAGAGAGGTCCCAAATTGGACCCCTGAGGTACTCCAGAAGTGACAGTTATATAAGACGAAACGAAATTGTTATAAGTTATCTGTTGGTATCGATTTTGCAAATAGCTCTTAAACAGAAGTTGTAAAGAAACATCAAAACCAAAGTTATCTAATTTTGCTAAGATAATGTCATGAGCAATTGAATCAAAAGCCTTGGCAAAATCAGTGTAGATACAATCTACCTACCCACGATTGTCAAGTACAGTCTCTATAAATTGGGTAATGCAGGTCAGGTTAGTGGCCGTGGATCTGTGCTTCATGAACCCATGTTGAGCTGGAGAGATAAATCTTATCACAGATGGATAAATTCTACCGTATAACACTTTCTCATACACCTTGGCGAAGTTATTTAATATACTTATCGGCCTATAGTTCATTACATCACTGGGATCGCCACTTTTCAATATAGGGCAAATATTAGCAAACTTCCAGATAGAAGGAAATTTGTTGCTATTAAGTGATGCATTGAATATATACACAAGAGGTTCCGAAAACACACTACCACAGTCTCTAATTAAAAAGGCCGGAATATGGTCACAACCAGCTGTGGACGTGTCCTTTAAACTTCTTATAGCCCGTATAACTTCATCATTTGTGATATCCTTAACCCTAATATTAGGTACATATTTATGTGTATAGTATTGGGATACATCTGAGGGGCTTGTAGGCTTATAAACACTACTGAAATATTCGGCAAAAATGTTTACAATCGATTGTGGATCCGTAACTTCATTGTGCAGGTACTTCACTTTACCCGGAATTCTAGAGTAACCACGTTTGGACCGAATAAAGTTCCAAAAATATTTTGGATTACTGGTAACCGAACTCTCCACTTTTAACATGTAAATATTATAAGCAACTTTAATTTGTTTTTTGATTAATTTTCTAAGACGATTATATTCAATTAGGTCCATATGGAGAAGATGTTTTTTATATTTACGTAGATACTTAAATTTAAGTTTAATATTCAATTTTATATCCGGTGTAAACCATTTAGGATAATTAGACGATTTATGTGTCGAAATAGGTACATACAAATCAAATAACGAATAGATAATAGAGTAAAATGTTTCGCAGGCTGCATCAGGGTCGGATAAATGGTGTAAGACGCTCCAGTCAATCTTCAGAAGATCTTCATACAAGTTGATAAAATCTGCGTTTTTGAAATTGTAGCGCCTGATTGTACTATTAACGATGAACTGTGAAGGTCTCTTGTCTATCTTTTGTTCAATTAGTATTTCAATATAATGATAATGAAACTGTAGCATAAAATGAGTTTGCTAATAAAACCTTCGATTCGAGGAAGCTAAGGAGAAAATAAGACAAAATAGTGGGAGATTGTTTAAATATTTTTGGAAATAAAGACGGCGTGTGTAAATTGATCATTTAGATTCCCAAACTACGAGCGGCTCTCAAAAAAATGTATTTTTCGAGCTTTACCGATATCAATTGAATGAGGATAAATTCCAATCAACTTGGCTGGCAAAATTGAAACTTTTCCGTACCTCATGCACGCACTAGAGACGATTATTGAATGACCTCCGGAAAATAAAAAGAAGCAAAAACACGTAATCAAGGACAACATTTGGGGAAAATCAAAAAGTAACGGGCACTAGGTGGAAGTAACAAAACGCCGGGAAAATTTTTACAGCAAACAGACATTAAAGGATGCTGCAAAGAAACCAAAGATGAGACACAGAACGTAGAAATTTGCACTCGAAGATATACATTTGTAAATACACGTATCTCGTCCAGAATCAGGTGCCGATTCTGAATCAGGAGAGTGCGATGGTCGCAGGAATTGCAAACAACCAGAAAAATTATTGTACAAAATTTCACACTTCTTAAAAGTTAAAAATTTTACGTTTACATCGCATTTCCGAAGATATTTATGAATATTTCTCAAAAATTTGTGTACCGTTCGAAAGCTCATTATATTTGCTGTCTCACAGAACAAAAAAAAGTCAATGCTGCCTTTAACAACCACTCTGTAAACTGTATATGCGCGACAAGTGTAATATATACATATGCGAGACAATATGTCGAATGAATCAAGGTAGTTTTTTTTTCAATCAGACCAACGGTTTAAGGAATATAAGAGGATGAATATTTATTAAAAACGTAACGCGAGAGCCCCAGCTCCTGGCAACAACGACCGACGCCTGCCTCTACACACGCTGTCGCATAAGTCCGTCTCAGACACACTACCGCAGACCTGGTTTGTTTTCTTTTAGCGCATTTTTTTAAGAATGAAAAAAATGTGTTATTGGTTGCGTTTTGTTCTAACATGAAAATAAAAGTTCGTGTCGCCTAAAATAATCTCACACAAACGTACCGTAGTCTCTTCGTGAGCAGCCGAAGCCGTGGTTAGGGCTGTTAGTTTCCTTTTTTTTTGATTTGTTTTGTCTCTTTTGATTTATTCTATGTCTTTACCACGTTGTGATACCATTTTACTCATGTAT